CAAAGCAGAAAACGCTATTTTTTATTTTTTGACTTTCAAAAGATATTTAAAAATAAATATTTTATTGGATTAAATTTGCAGTCTTTTTTCTCGAACATTGTTTCAAAATCTGTTCATACAGTAGGCCATTTTTTCTACGAAAATATGGACAATAGCTAAAATCTCTTTTGATCTACTTGTTTTTAATGTTGCTTGATGGTCTTGATCATGATCAAAATCAGAATTGGTATGTGCATGAGAATTTTCCTTGTCTTGTTGATTCATAATGTCTGTGAGACTCCCTTTTCATTGTATGAATATATCACGTATATTGCAAATGTCACTTTAGACAAAAATGGTAAAAAAATACTTTCGACGCAGCAAGAAATCACAGATGAATTATATTGGCACTATAGTGAACAATTCAAATTACCATCAGTGGATTATTCTAATGCGCAGGATATTAATATAGATAGGCAATATAACAAATTGTTAAATAAGTTAATAATGTCGGAGGATCGAGTAGAAATATTAGTGTGGCTGAAATTAAGGGACTAATCAAGACGTTAAAACCCAAGAAATCAGCAGGTTTTGACTAAGTATAAAACTTTATAATTAAAAAACTTTCATCAAGCTGCATAGAGTGCTTAGTTAAGTGTTTCAATACATGGTGAAATGAATGTTAATACTCTGATGAATGGAAATTAGCAAAAATGATAACCTTAAATAAGCTGAAATCGGGTATTCCAAAGTGCGATCAAACCCATCCAATCTCCTTGTTAGCTACATATTCAAAGCTCTTTGAAAAAGTGCTCCTACATAGAATTAGACACTGGGCTGAAAGTAACCAGTTAGTTGCTCTAGAACAATTGGGATGTCGACCGAGATGTCTTCTACCTACTCAAGTACTATCAATCTATCAAGAAATGAAAAACAATATGGCTGCCAATTTATCGATGCTTCCTCTCTACGTCGATTATGAAAATGATCGAAAGCTGATTAAAAGATAAGAAAAGCATATGTAGAATTTGATAAAAAAAAACATCAAGAGTTTTTGATTTAAAAATAGAACTTCCACAGGGGAGTAGTCTCAGTCCATACCTGTTTATCGCGTTTCACTATGATTTGACAAATTGTCTGTGAGCTCATTTAGGTCATCTTTTTGCTGATGATCTTAGTGTACTAATTAGACCGCCCATTATGAAAAACTTAGTTCTGATGATTCAATATCTGGAGAAAGAAGGTACACGGATCTGTAATCAAGTGTATGTGTACTCCAGAAAATGGAAACAACCGATAAATATATCAAAAACAGTGGTACAGTTATTTCATCCGCAAGTATAAAGACCAGTAATGAACATAACAATGAATGGAGAAAAAATCGAATTGATTAAAGAATTTAAATATTTATGGTTCACATGGACCGATAGACTATCTTTGAAACCCACAGTCGAAAAATGTATAGGGAATATTCAAAGATTCCTAGGAAAACTGAAGTGGTTAAAATTCGGACGAAAAATGTTCTCTAAGACGCTTCGTCAATGTTTCTTTGCATACACTTTCCCACATTTTGCTGAATTGTTCCCATTTTTTCTCCTTCTTCCAGAAACTCAGCAGCAAATATTACAACAAAAATTCCGGGTCGATCTTCGACTGGTGCATCGCTGTCTTCTTGTTTCTGCTCACAATCTATATAATATCACTTCTAAACAGTCGTTAGAGGTTTATGTTAAAAAGTATATTCAAAGAGGATTACGAAGTATGCCTATGACTGATCTTGGTTCTTTACTTTTCTATAATGATATCTTTATCTGGGATGACTTCGGTAGAAAAAAAAACGATCATCTCTGTCATTTTTTTTTGCGGACGTCGTGTACGACATTTGACAGGAAGACATGAATCGTTTCTTTTAAAGTGGATATTGTTTATTGAAACGAATTGATATAACAAACATAGCACAAATGTAATGCGCTGCTCTTTCTTTTTTCTCTTTTCCATTTTTTCTTCTCTTTCTCATTTTTTTATCTTTTGCTTTCTTCTTTTCTTTTTTTCTCACCTCCGTTGCTCTTCACTACCCTACTATTCTTTTTTTCGCTTGCTTGTCCTTGTCAATATACTCTTATTCTTTCTCTCTTCATAATATTTTGCGTTTATATCTGGTCTTTTATTTATTCCGTGAATATCTCTATAAGCGTGAGCCAATACTCAGTGTAAGGATATTAGTGGTATACCTTGAAACGCTTTGCATTAATGATGTAGCTTCTGGCTTAAATATCTCCTTTCTTTTTCTCTCTATCATGCAAGCGCTTTCGAGTGTTACATTCACCAGCGTAATAAAAAAAAAATAATGATAAAATATCTCTGAATAATGCTTGTGTAATCGAAAATACATTCAGTCGAATCTTTATAGTTTGTTTAGCTAGAATTGGATCACTCGATAGATAATGTCTCGATGTAATTTGTTGTTGATTTTAATAATTTAAACAACAAACTTTTTCTATGGAGTGAAAATAATCGTCAGAACTTGTTGAATTTTATAGCGGTCGTGACTCCCCGATGGGTAATATTGTCACCAGTGTGCTAATCAACATGCTGGTACTGGATCGAATTCGAAAAAAGAAGTTATCTTGTATAATTCGCTAAACAATTTTGAAAAATGTATATATCAAGAATCTTTTTTTGGTTGAGCTTTTGTTTATATCAAAAAGCAATTGATCGAAATCGACTTCTGCATTTGCCATATCATTTTTATTTTAAATAATGATTCTTATCATTCCGCCAGATAGTGGCGAGTTGAAGTACACTCTTCTGTTACTGAATTTATTTTCGGTTTTGGGTGTATATTAATACAAAGTAGAAATAGTGCTTCTCTTGTTTTGAAGAAGGATATGAGTGAAGAGAAGATTATATCCACATCCGCACCCAACACTCAAGAATATTGCATTACAACAATTTCACTTGTTTTTCTTCTGAATATCCTACATTTATAACTGGAATAAATAAAAATAAAAGAAAATGAATGAATGTTACGATGAGTCCAAAGCGTTGGTTCTCACGGGGAAATGATTATTGCAAACATTTCTTCGATTCTTGAGATACGTATTACCCCATGTTTGTGATGTAAATATTTTTGTTTGCATTTTTTGATTGCAAAAGCACATTATCAGACCAGTAGCTGAAAAACAAAGTGAATCATGCACACATAATTATTGTGATATTTTTTGAATGGATGAATCATGCTGAAGCATTCAAGTATAACACAAGATAAACGTATTGTCAACAGTAGAAAACAAATAAAACGGTGTTTGTATATATACAAGCATAAAAGCAATATGTCCGTTGCAAATGTATTTAATATAAGAGAACATCGCAATAAGTCACCCAATGGTAATATAAATATGAATCAAATGGAGATACATGAAAATGCTAACGATATTAACAAAGTTGATTTGACTTACGTTGAAAATTCATCTGCAGATGGTTTGGTATGTATTAATATCCTGGTCTATGAAGAAAATTTTATTCAGTTCGAATTCATCGTACATTTAAGTTACTATTAATTTTGAACTAAAATATTTGAGAGACTAATGCGGTAAAAGAAATAGTCAATATAGCCAGATAACGAATGTTTCATAAGTAACCACCGGTTTTTATTTTTATTTTTTTTAATCATTGTCATACTCAAAGGTGGAGAGGTATTGAATATGTATATATATATATTTGAAGAATAACATTTAAGCTGTTATTCAACAGAAATTGTGCTCAATTCACATTAACCATAAGAAAGTGACAAGTTGGTTAAAATTTTGAAAAGAATTTATCGACGTCATGTCTTTTACTTCTTTTCTTTACAGAATTACCCACTGTATTTAGTGAATATCTCTGTCAATTTTTGATGCTTCGACTTGAGTTTTTTCAAAAATATAGCTTGTCTGATTCACTACAAAATTTAAAAGAAAATAGCTCTTGAAAAGGATAATCGAAAAACCATATCTGATCAGTAGTATTACACTCCAAAAAGATCCACTATCACATACACTTCTTTTTTACAAATCAAATTATTTCAATTCTGTTAACTAAACAGGTTTCAGACCATTTTAAGTTGTTCTTTGAAAAGCTGTTGTTCTTGAACTTTGTAAAATATTGCACAGATTATCTTTTTGAATAAAATCAAGTTAAAGCATAAAAAACTGGCAGAGACATTCACAAAATATGGTATGGCTAATTCTTTACAGAAAATAAGTAAAAGATGACTTTGATAAAATTTTTCCAATATTTTTACCAATGTTTCACTTTTTAATGGTTGATGCAAATCAAATGCGATTTCTGTTGAATAATAGATTAGATGCTACTCTTCATATATACATATAATTATCCAATATCTCTCCAATTTTGAGTACGACAAAGATACAAACGAAATAAAAATGCGGTCGTTACTTATGAAAAACTCTTTAGAAACGAGTTTTCTGCGCTGATTCAAATATCGATTTATATTTTCGTCATTCTATTAGTGTTTGATAATATAACTTTATCATTTTGACCGAAAAACATATCTTATCTAGACTGACTGTTTGTCGAATAGTGACACAATACGAATAGATATTTCTTGATTACAACCACGTGGACTTACATTGATCGAAATCAATCTAACTTCGCTAAAACATTTTTTCCCATAAGAAGATTTCAAAAGGTGATAAGCATAGTTCGTCTCAGCGAATCATATATTTTCATCTGTATTCGCAATATAAATTATTGTTTGTTCGTAATTCTTCATTGTCAAACACTGCTAATATTGATTGTTTCTGAAAAGAAATGTTAGAATATTATGTCCTGCTTTTTTTTTCTTTAAGTGTCGCCAATCACGCAGAATAAAGAAGCAAAACAACTACAAAAAAAAGAGACGAAAGGCAAAGAAAAACGTCAGTGATCAAAGTTACGACACGATAGCCCCACTCAATGTAGATGAAAGAGATCATCAGCAGCCGGTGGAGAGATTAGATATCCATGTTGAAATTGATTCAATGAGCAAATGTGATAACCAAAATACAAATTCGAATGAAGAAAGTACCATTCATGAGTTAGACGTGGCTGTCAAAACGGAAGATCACAATGAAATTACTGATGAGACCGTAGAAAGAAATAATCGACTGATTGCAAGTGGTGGTATCACCGGCATCAACGATAATCTCAATTCTGTGGTAGGATATGCTGCAGAACCATTGTTACCACTTCATGAAGCATGCTTTCCATTGGTTGACATTCTCTACAACCTATCATTTTACGTAGAATTGGCACTCAATGCAACGCCACAGGAGCCACCCGGTGGGCTGACTGTAGACGAGAGTGCTGCTATTCGTCTCTATACTATTGAATGGGAAAAACCGCATCGAAGTCTCTATTCAATGCTGAACCATACTCTCAAGATGGCGTCACGTGAAGAACTTCGACCTTATTTCAAGTATCTCAAGTTGTTTTTGACTGCTCTCGTTAAAATACCTTGTGTTCCACCGTTAACGGTTTGGCGAGGTGTAACCAAAAATTTCAGCGCTGATTTTCCACCAGGTGCTCTCGTAACATGGTGGGCATTTTCATCGTGCACTCATGAATTGACCGTATTAGAAAACAACATGTATCTAGGTACGAGTGGCGAGAGAACTCTTTTCTCCGTTGAAGCGATCAATGGTCGCACAGTACGAGCTCACTCACATTTCGTTACCGAAGATGAAATTCTTCTTTTACCTGGTACACAAATGGAAGTTCAATCAATGTTTAGCCCGGCACCTGATCTCCATATCATTCATTTAAAACAGATAAAACCGACCGAGACTCTTCTCGAACCTCCATTTGAAGGCAAGCTTAACAGAGCATGAAAAGTAAGAACAAATATTTGAATTCGTTTGTTTTAGGTGCTCATGTCTATCCACCTGAGAAGAAGAAACTACCTTGGTACAAGAAGAAACGAACAATGTTTGAATTGACTTTGGTTATTATTGTGTGTATCACTGGCATTATTGTTGGTGCAGTATTTGGTTCGAGACGTACGCCTCCACCTCCCAGTATGTTGCATCAGTTTTCATATCAAAAATGTTTTTCTTGCGTTGTCAAGCTGAGCGAGCAGAAAGTAGAGAACTTGACGCATGTTACCAAGCTCATAACTAATTGATATATCATCTCACCATAAATCTATTTCGAAACTTTCCATGAGTGATTCATTCAAAAAAATGTCATCCTCTTTGAGCAGATATTACTTAGCAATTAATGAACTCTTCCGAGCTTCTTTGAAAATAATCACACATAATGGAGAATCTATGATGCCAACACACTTGCTAGTTTTATTGGATTTTACTAAAGATAATTGATTATTTCTGAATATATTCTATATCTACTAGTTTAGTATTCACTGTTACAAGTGGAACTATTGCAAGAAAACCTTTTGGATTTACCATTGAGTCTAACATAGTGCTACATGAATAGAATACGTCAATATTTTGATCGGAAATCTTTTTCATCGGACTATGAGCAGACAATCTTTGATGTCATAACAACTTTAGAAAAAACAATTTCTGTAAAAGGAACATATCCTCCATCTATCGAAATTTCTTGGAGATTTTCCATGATAATTGAGAAATTAAAAATAAAAAAAAACGTGTATTCTTGTCTTATTTTCTGTTATTCGATAATAATTGCTCATATATTTAGTATGTGTACCTCGAAAAACAAACCTGATGGTTGATTATCTGTGGTCCTTTGATTGTGGTGATACTCGAGAAGATTTGACCGGTTTGTACAATGGTACTGCTGTAAATGGAGCTGTGACTATTTCACCTGACTATTCTGGGCAAGGCAAGGCATTAAATTTGGATAGGAAACAAAATCAATATATCATACTTCCTCGTTCATTGAATCTAACACTCAATACAAGTTTTACAGTGACTTCCTGGCTTTTGAGTGCTGGCTATTTGACAAAAACTATTTTAAGTGATTGTAATAGTTTCAATCCGATATGTATAACATTTTTGATCACTGAAACTACTATGAACATTGATATTTCAAATTGGGATAATGCGACTATCATTCAGACAGCATTTGTTTCTTTGCAGAACTATGGTTGTCAAGCTTGTTGGATGCATGTAGCATTCTCATTTAATCATCAAACTGGATCGACTATTTTCTATTTCAATGGCATGCAAATTGGAGAGAAATATTTGAATATGACTGTTGCAACCTTGTCACAACCAAACAAAGCGAAAGCGACCTATATTGGATTGAATGCAGTGACGAATGCGCAGCCATTCTATGGTCTCATTGATCAATTGTCTGTTTTGTATGCAGTGAAAAATGCCAGTGTAATTCTCTATGAAGCAACTACAGTTTGCCACTACACATTTGATAGTGAAGATATCAATGATGGTTGGGGTCCGAATAATATTCGAGCACGTAGTCAACATGTCTATCGATTGTGGTCGAACAATAAGAGTAGTCTTCTTTTCAATGACAGTGACTCGTATTTCCAATCGAGTGGATTCACTCTAATGAACTCAAATGATTATGAATATTCGATATCATTCTGGCTCCGTTTGGTAATACAGAAACCGGAGAAAGCGAATAGTGCTATAGCTGTCTTACAGTTAACATCATTGATTGCTGGACTGTCAACAGACAGCTATACATGCATCATGAGTATGCATGTTTACCAAGATAATCAGACTTTGGGATATTTTTTTCCCGGATTCTTTAAAATCACTGATGTGAACAATTCATTCATAGGAAACAATACTTGGGTTCATATTGGTGTGGCATTTGAGAGCCCAGACACATATTTATTTTATGAAAATGGCAAACTGATTTATAAAGACACGAATCAACGCTATGGATCGATCATATCTGGTGATCCACGATTTTCTGTAACCATTGGTGGCGCATACTTGGATGATTCTACACCGAACAAGCCTGTTAATTTTGAACAGATGAAATGCTTTGCAAGACTTCCAATATTTAATTATACAAAGATGTATGGAGAAATTGATGATTTTACGTTTTATTCAAGAAAATTAAATGAGTCCGAATTTTCAACTCTGGCTCAGTCTAATGATACAAAAAACTTGATTGAGCAACTATGAGAATTTACTTGGTGTTGGCCAATAGCTAGAGTATTAGCTATTTCTAATATTATCTTGAACATATCATGCTGATTTTCGTGTAACATTTCTTTTTCTCTTTGATTTATTGTTAAAACTATGATTCACTGTATATCAGTTCAGTAAACATAAAAGCTCAAATAGGTGAACTCATTAACATGGTTCTCGAGAACGGTAAATTAGAATTACGTTTCATTAGCAAAATTCAGTAGTCTTCAAGTCCCATTGATGAGATGAAAAACGCAATATATTGCGAGAATGAGAAAAAATCGAATAGTATTAGTAAATAAGGAATTTGAAGTTGAAATTAATCGATTTTTATCGGTGTTATTATGAGAACAAAAATCATATAGTTAATGATGTGTACTTATTTCGAGATTCAGAAATATCACTAAAAGATCTTGTTTTTTTAGCTCCATGCTTTCTTATCGAATGCATTATTAAAATGATCAGTTGATTGAGAAAATAGATCATTTAGTGTGTTGAAAAATAATTCTTAGATTTGTCTAAAAACCACTATCAAGATTCGCTTCCAAACATTGATATTAATATACGGTAGCAACTGTTCAGATAACAGATCTTGGATACAGAGATAAATAAGTTTATTATCTTCAAACTTCAAATACTTGTTATATCAAAGAATCGAGGAGGACCGTTCAATATTCGGCACACAGAAACATAGGATCAGTGTGGGGTGGATTTTTTTCGTTGCCCACACTGATACACAAACTATTTTCCTTCCGATGAATCATCACATCTGTCTAACCAGCTAATTAAACCGCTATGAGCATCCTGTTCGAGAATAGTTTCGTCGTTTCGATGTATTTTGCCTTGACCTGTCATTGTACATATAATCTACAATTTTCTGGGCAATCATCGCATCCTTCTTTTATAAGAATACGTGTTTCACTTGTAAGAGTGCGAGTAGGTACGAGTGAAGACAAGACCCTAATATATCCACTCAGTTTTCCATAGTCGTTAGTCTATCTGAGCGCTGACATTGGATTTCATTATCTTTATTTACAAAAGTCAAATTTGTTCACGGTATTCGAGGAGAATATATCCTGCTAAGACGTTTAAAATTTTCATTAATATTTTGGTGAACTCAAGCCTATCTTGAGGGTGTGAATAAATGTGAGTGTGGTGGATGGGGGTGGTGGTGTAGGTGTCTCTATGTATCTTAGCACACACACACACCCTTTTTTCCTCATTTTTGAGGTCATATTTGGAAAGAACACAAAAAACTGTATCGAATCATGTATATAATTCATGAAATGGATACTTAATAATAAGAAAAAATATCCCTCTAGCAAAAAAACTTGACAATATTTTTTTTTCCAGTTCGAACTAAAAAAAAGCTCGAAAATTGTTTTTCTAAGGTCTTATTTGGCATGATTCGAGTAGAGCAATTAATTTTATGAGTCAGAACAATATGTTAATTGTTCTCAAAGCAGTTTTTTGGATCCAAATCGATCAAAAACTAAAAAGGGTCGAAAACAGTGAATCTCAGAAACTAACTTTTTTGACAGCTTTTTGGCCACTTCGAGCATTTTAAAGCAAAATGAATATGATATTCATGATCAGTAGTGCCGATTACTTATAGATCACGAGAGGGTGTGGGTGGTGAATGTGGGCGCGGGCGTTCTCATCTACTGCTTTGACATTCACGAATCCACAAGAAAACCTTCATCCGCACCCACCCCAGAGTAGTTTACGAGTGCCGTCTAGTTAGCACACCTTCTACAATATAATTGGATGATCTATGAGAGAATATTTGAGTTCAATATTTCAGTTGAATACGGCTGCACTGAAAAGCTTCCTTTTGATTATTGACGGGTAGCTTTCAAAGCAAAATTCAAAAGAGTTCTTATCAGCACAAACAAACAGCGGCTAAAACAGAGTTACGTACTTGTTTGAGTTAAAGACTCAAAGTTAGCAGTAGGCATATTGAAAAATACGCTTAGTCACTTATCTACATTAGTATATACATCCCATATACAAGCATGTTTACCATGTCTACGCCCTTAGCTCAATTCTGTCGTCCGCAGAAGAATTTAATAACATTCAAAATCAGGGACACATTTCAATAGTTACCATCTGTATAATTCTAAAAAAATAAGTAATTTGCGATTTTAGTCTGCGATTGGTTATTATATTTTTGATAAATATGGTGATATGAATTATTTCAGATTCGAATAAATAATTCATTTTATTCGTTGTTTTTATGGATCAAGAGCCAGAAGCGAGGCAAAACCGTTTGATATCATGCTCTCTAAGTCTTCGAGTGAACATCGTAGCTCAATTTTTACTGCGCTTTTAGAGATAGAACGTACGTCGACAATGCTAAAGAGGATTCCAGGCAACAGAAGTACTTCCTCTTCATGAGGAAACTTGAAAAACTCGCTTATTTTAAGTGCGTAGAGTGAACTAATCGAATTAACTTCATATATGAACATGGCAGATACCATGTTTTCCAATATATCATTTGCATTATCAATAAAACCTTGGGTGATTTTGCGGGCTGCCGAAGTTGAAGCAGCAGCTTTGTAGCAGATGAACTGTGCATCATAATACTGTTGCAACTCATCTTGCGAAATTCACATGCCACGATATGTGGTACCCTGGAATCGAACATTTGGGTTCGGAGTCAACAGAAGTCCATAAACTGATCTTAAATACAGCTTGGCCCAGTTTGTTTCGTTGTTAGCTTGAGGCAACACTTACTATCCTGCTTGTGCTGTCTTTGCTATATTGACGGCGATTTTTAAATTCCGAAAAATACTTCCAACAACTTGCTGCAATTGGTCTTCCATGCTTGCACCGCTGAAAGCTTCAACATCTTGTTGAGCCAATTTACGATTCAGCAATTTATAAAAATTACCTTCATGAGTGTAAGCATGAATGAAATACGTAATGTCGTTTTTCTTTTCGGCTGCTTCCAATAATTTCCAAACATCCTGCATGAGATTCTTTAGATCATCGGCTTTTCTCATTGCTTCTATAGCTATCTGTATAGCATTCTCACTAACTGAGTAAAGTTCACGCTGAATTATCTGGAGGTACATGCAAGCCCCTATATCGTATAGATTCCACTCAGTTTGTTGGTTGTTTTGACTGGCTCTCCAACGAGAATTCAAGAGCGGTTGTTCGAGCTTGCTCGTATTATTAATATTAGTCATTGATTGTGGTAGACCAGCTGTCGATGATTTTTTCTGCAGAGCATTCGGTGTGTCAAAAGTCATTGCAGTGGTGGTATGGAAACATTTTTGGCATTCTTCTTGCATCGCTTGACATAAAGGACTGATTTTTGTATAAACACCACGTATTTTTGACCAATCTTTTGCCCATTGTTCATAATATTCTCTTTTGGGACAAAAGACAAACATCGACTCCGATTGAGACAAAGCATGAATTTGAGGTACGACCTTTTCTTCAATGGGACCTGCAATGATCAAGAACATTCCATTGTCACCCGCTTTTTTCAGGTGTTGAATACACTGATCAGCATTAGTAAACGTATTAATCGATTTGGCGACAGAACTCAGTCTAATAAGCGAATTGTGGAAGTCATCCACTGATTCATCAATTTGCGGTTCGCGCCAAACAACAAAGAAGTTCTGTATTATGGGAAGTTTTCCGGCACTTCTTGATGCATCTGTAGACGCATCATTCTTGACAGATAAGTATGTATTGGATGATATCTTTTTCGAACTGCTGAACATTGGCTTCAGCTTTTTTCAATCGGTATCGTCGTTATGGTAAAACTTACGATCATTTGCAACCTATTTTTTGCCTGAATGAAAAAAATTCGGAAAAAACAACTGTTTTCAATTTGTCTCGGTTTTTCTTTTGTAATCATCTATTTTTATTCTTATCGCTATCTTCACCTTTGAATCAGCGACAAAGCCTCATCCTTTCGCATTGTACCCTGGCTTTTTACAAAATTGGTTCAGACAAGAAAGTAGAGAATTGTTCTGATTCGTTTCGTTTTTCTGATCTTCTACGGTAAAGTGTGTGTGTAGATGTGTGGATGTGGGTGTTTATTCACACCGACACCCACACTCATGAGCCAAGTACATACTCCTGAAGTCTCACTTCCTCTCCGCTTCCCTGCCCACTCCGCTCTTGGGGTGTAGTCCATTACATTTTAAGACAAACGGTTTTTCACCGAATCTATATCTGGAGGCAGCTCTTTTAAGGTTCAGAACTTATTCACTGAATTTTAAAAAGTACTCTGGATTTCTAGCAAATGGTTTTGTAGTCAGATAAATTAGTACAATAGCTCGAACGATCTTCCTGCCGATACAGACGCTGTAGAGAACTTATTCTTTTATAGTGTAAATCCACACCCTCACCCTGTTACGCTTCGTGCGAGAATCGCACAATTATATGGTTACTTCTTATTCTGTGCAGTATTTTAACCATAGAACTATTTCGACGAACCACTAACATCCTTTATTATCTGAATCGTATTAAATCGTCAAGATAGTTTTACTTCGCCAAGATGCAGACTTCCCACCTGTCGATAGAGAGTATGTCTAACCAAGTCTATATGATGATGATTCAATGCGTTTTTTTCGAGAGGGTAAATATTAATCGTGAAAGAACAGAAAGGAGTGTATGCAACCACACAAAACTTGTTTTGTGGAAGTCACATATATTTCTAAAGACAATAGTAGGTGTAAGTTTTAAATCGAATTGTTTTAACGGCTCATCATGTTGCTTCCTATTACGGGCCATAGCAATGAAGGTGCTCACTAAAGGCAGAGGGCATGGATCTGGATGCAGGCGTAATGTATCATACTCTAAAAATAGAAGTTCTTTACCCAATTCGTATCAACGAGGGGAAGTGGAAGACATTTTGAAGTTTCTTACGGATTTACGAAACCTTATAAAGTTCTGTAAATTTCCTACCAGCCGACTTTGAGTTCAGTAAATGTGTACGAAACGTCAAGGAATCTTCCTATCAATTCAGATTCTGTAAAAATGCCATTGTTTTGAAGGTGAAAACCTACATTCACACCCGTCCTCACCATTCAGCACGATATTTATCTCGCTGAAAACCAAATTGAATTCAGGGTGTGGGTGTGGGGGTGTGGGTGTGGGTGTGGGTGTGAGTGTGGGTGTGGGTGTGGGTGCGGGTGTGGGTGTGGGTGTGGGTGTGCGTGTGGGTTGGGTGAGGATGTGGGTGTGGGTGTGGGTGTGGATGTGGGTGTGTGGGTGTGGCTGTGGGTGTAGATGTGGATGTGGGTGTGGGTGTGGGTGTGGGGTAGTGTGGGTGGGTGTGGATGTGCGTGTGTGGGTATGGGTGTGGGTGTTGGTGCGGGTGTGGGTGTGATTGTGAGTTTAAGTTAAGAGCCACACGAACCCCACGTCCAGCCACCCACACCCACCCACACCCACACTCACACCCCACACACCCACACCCCACACCCACACGCACACCCACACCCACACACCTACGCCCACACCCACACCCACACCCACACCCACACCCATACCCACACCCGTTTTAAAACGTCATTGAAAGTTTACGTGATCTAACGGGTGAAAATTGGAATTTTTTTCGCGTCTCTTCGTAGTAAACATTGCGACTACTTTTTTTTACACGTTCATGTTATGACAAGCATCTTCTTCAGATGCGATCATAAGGATTTTTTTCGCTATCTATACGATTATATAAATGAATTTACATTCACCTTCTTTTCTCTTATTGTCAAAAAAATATGGGAGCAATGGATCAAGTAGATATGCAAAACAGTTTCTCGGAATGTCTAAGAAAAATAATAAAGTGGTACAAGAAGTTGTTTTTCCATTTATTTGATATCACTGTGCAGAACTCCTATGCCATGTACAAGATGAAAAACGAGAAAAATTCCGAACTTTTAGAGTTTCGTCTGCAACTTGCTCGAGACCTCATTGAAGAATACAGATCAAAGCGGCCACAAATGAAAGACAGATCATCAAGTGATTGTCCACTATGCCTCACACTGTTCGTCATTTCATCGCTTTTATCCCCAGAAATAATGTCAAGAAACGCTGTTTCGTCTGCATTCATACAAACAAACGAGAAAAGAAACGAAGCGATAAAAGGTTTTATTGCCCAGATTGTGACGTTTCACTATGTAATCCCAATTGTTTCAAAGAATAACACATTTTGATAAATCTGAGAAAAATAAATCATTTTTGAAAAGTTGAAAAATTTGTAAATTTTTGATCAAAATAAGCCGGTCCTAAAAGGGTTAAGATGTTGAAATTGTTTTGATACAATACTAGACGACAATATAAGAACAGCTGTTTTTTTGATCTTTTCTATAATGCGGGGTGTGAGTGTCGGTGTGGATGTAAATGAAGATGATTAATCAACATCCACACCCACACTCCACATCTACCCACACGCACGCCCACACCCACACCCACGCACACCCACACTCACCCACAGTCCACACTCACGCCCACACACCCACATCCACACCCACATCCACACTGCATGTCTAACTACTTTTTATTTCTTAAATGAAGAGCAGACGATATTTATAAGCAGTACTTTTAAAATAAATAGCTAATTATTCAATAGTCGACATCTGGAAAAGTCAGTTAGTTTTAAGATTTTGTGTCCTGCACTAATATAGCTGTAAACAACGTCAAATTGTTTTCCATTTTCCTTTCATCACTATTTTGAACTCTCTTGTATATGTTTTCGATGTTGAAACGAAAATAAAAAATGTGAGTAGCGATGGAATAAAAGAAACAAAGTAACCAATCAAGTACAGCAACGGTTCTCTTGTTGATTTCATGCATCCAAACATGAAAGAAATGATTAAACGAGGTAAAGCTAAGATAACCGAGAGACCAGAACTAATACTAAGATGTTTATGAATGTGAAATTGCTCTTTCAGATGTTCTACGTAAGATTTGTGTTTCCTTGCTGATGCGCGTGTTTTTGAAAGAAAAATGATGATGCCAGTAATGGAGCCAACTTTAATTGAAAAGGGCATAATGAAATGAAAAATATTAATAAATGAATTGTAGTTTTCAACAGTTGACGTAAAACGAATCAGACACCAAGTTCGTTTTTCTTCTTCATCCTCAATTAGACGACGATGTATAGGATCATGCAGAAGAGAGACTACTGTGAATAGAAAAATAAGAGAAATAATTAATTTTCCCATTTTTTTGCTTTTTGCCATGTTAAAATTAACACCGAGAATGACCGTGAAAAGTCGTTCAAGAGTCACACAGGCATGTAACCAATCAGTGATGGCTAATAGAGACCGAAGAACGAATTCAATTGAAATGCAACTGAACAAGAGAAAGGATGGCGAAGTAATAATAGACATTTGAGAAAGAATAAGAAACCACAATTTTAGATTCAAAATAATAATGATCAGAAGCGATGTAATCGCTGATGCAAGAAGGTAAAAACCAGTACCCACTTTTTGGCATGACTTCGATTGAAAAGTTAAAATAGATAGAGTTCCAAAAATTAGAACAACAGCAAGCATTATTGTGGCAACAGCAATACTACTTTTGACATACATAGATTGTCTCGTAATTGGTAGACGAGGACGAATTTGATAACCCAACATAGCATCCAGTGAGAGGCCGAATTGTTTCGTATTGAAATGACATTTCGTACCATAAAAACATTCCCGACAGACACACATTGTCTTTGTTGGGCATGTTGGATGATCTTGAAAACATTGTCCTTCATTCTGACAATCATTCCAACCCATACAGTTGTAAGTCATATTGAAATCGAAATGAAAACAATTGGCATGCCTTTTTTCTGTACAAAGACACATAAATGATTCATTATCATGAAAACAAAAAAGATGAGAATCTTGCATGCATGGAAGATGATAGTATTTAACTCGATGAAGAATTGGATAATCAAGAATTTGTTGATCAAAGAGTTCTCGAATGTGTGGACAATGTTGTGATCGAGCAACTTCTGTAGAAATATTAGCTGAACGTGTATAGTTAGATTGAACAACAATAAGATAAAATTTTGTTTGAATTTGAGCGAAGACAAGATGAAATGGCAATGACATGTAGAAAGTGACTGTATCTTGATCGAAATCAATCCTTTTGAACATAGTCGCTCGAGTTGGCATTGGATTCTGAGTTCTGGCGTCATATTTATGCACTGTAATAAAGTGAACTAGAAGCGATTGAGGAATCGACACATCAGAAAATGAGATATCAATTTTGGCATCATTTTCTTCACATCGTTGTCCAGTAAATGCATCTTGACAGATACATGTGAAATTTGTCAAAGAAATTCGATCATTTTCTGGGACGCAAACACCTTGATTTAAACATACATTCACTTGACAGATCGAGTTAAGAAAACATCGTGGTGATGCTTTTGTTAAAGGACAAAGACAAATCGATCTATTATTTACAAGACCAACACAAATGGAATCTGGTGAGCAATTGCATTGATCTTGATTAATAGAAATCAACCTAGAGTGATTCGATTTACATCGACAAGATTCGATATTACTATTTCTCTTTTGTTCATGATACTTTGAGTTACATGTTCGGTAACAGTTATGTAATGCTGGAATTACCAGTAGGGCACTCTCACGATTGACAGGCATAAAAGGAAATCTAACTGGCAATTTCCAACTTGTAAGATAAAGAAGATCGGTTTTATCATAAGCATCAATATGGATTGTGTAGTTCTTCGTCATATTTTTCGGTCGATCTTGATAGAGTAGATAAGTATTGAATTTAGTATTGCAATCACGAACAGAGATATAGGTGAATTGCTCATATGAATGAATGAAATCAGTATCATCAACTAAAGTGACAATAATAGCAATGACATTAATTTTTTCTAAATTTTCGTTCCGCAGTCGAAGAGTAAGACTAACACGTTGATTTTGATATTGACAGCGATCACCATAATAACTTGGTGGGCATAGACATTGTTCACTTTCATTTTGACCGACGTAAATTAATATACCTCGATTACATAACCATACTTGCTGCATGTCCAACTCATTCTCGCCTTTTGATTCTTCTATTTCTTTCATCTGATATTGTATGAGTTTGTTAACCAATGGCAGCGATTGTTTCAAGGGAAATGGACGTGAAGACTCAAGAGAAAATGGTAATCTTGTGATAAGATAAATGTCCAGCATATCATGAAAGTATTGGAGCATATCTGGAATTTTATCGTGATTTTGTTGGCAAAGTTCATCGATACCATCTAATTTATTGCATTCACGACAACGGAACGGGTAAAAAACACATGAAGTGTCGTTCCAGCACCGATAACGTCTAAGCTTATCAGTTGGGTAAAATAGACGACAAAATGGTCTCTCATCTGTTGCTCCAAGACAATCCACAATTCCATCTTCAGTGCGATTTAGATGCAAACAGCCGATTGTCTGGTTCTTTGAAAATACACAAGGATGATGATCAGTAGGGCAGTGGAATTTCGAAGGACAATTGATTTCGTCAATTCCTTTTGGACATTGCCATATGTCATTGCATTCTGTATATTGATTGACACATGGCCATTGCTCACAATGAGTTTCGTCGGTTTCGTCTGGCGAAGAAAATATGTCTCTCCTGCCATCACATAAAGCAGAGAAAGGAAGTTTCTGAATATCCGTTATCTGTCCATCAGAATCGGGTTCATCTTCACCGCCAATACATTGTTTTACATTGTTATTTACCATTGTAAGTAACGGACATTTTTTCTCGGATATACAATTAAAACGATATTTATCATTTAATGAACATGAATTAGCTGAAAGTGATTCGTCGAAAGCATTGTAACAATCTGGAATTGTGTCCATGATGTGATGCTTTGGAATACATTTGTTCGTTCCAACGCAATGTAACATAGAGGACTGCAGACAAGGAATGTCATTGATACTTTGATAGAGACGAGTACAGGCAAGAAATATCGTATAAAAATCTATGCTAGATGAAAAGTTCAGTTTATGACTATGTAGACACGTGTAACTATCGATTTCGAATGTTGGAATGAGAAATGAACACTTCTCTTTATCAAAACAGACGAAATGTGGTATTAGAAAATGACGTTCGATGATTGTTTGATTGGAAAAGTAACCTAATCTGATATGTCCATCCCACACAGGAAAACCAGGTGCAAAGAAATAAGATGGACAATATTTAAGATTCATTTTACATTCTTGAACATTTTCACATAATTTCTTACAATAAATGTCGAAGTCGTCTGTTAAGAAAATGTTTGACGCACAAATTGCAATCTTAAAACAATGAGGAAATCTTGCAGACTCTTCCGAGTTCCAGTCAAACCGGTAGTTAAACACTTGATCTCGATAATTGGCACAGTCGCTTGTATTTGTTAGCAAAGGCCACGGTATACAGCGACCATCACCACAGTTGAAATAATGAGGAAATGGACATGTAGCTTCCTCACAGTAAAAGTTTGGTCGATCTGCACAAGTAAATCGCATTCCCATATAAATGGGCTCGTCCGATCGATCCAAACATTCGTAACCGGCTGCTCCATCTATACCGGTTTCAACCAAAAATGCTTCATTGATACACATTCCATTTCGACATTGATATGTATTATCGGAACATTGATTCATGTGAAGTTCCAGACAGTATTTTTCGTCTTCACCTCCATCAAGACAATCGATTTTCCCATCACATATCTCACGCCAATCGAGACATATGAGAGAGGAGCCGCGATCACATTTCATGTGCATATAACAAGTGAATTTTGCATGAGAACTCGATTCAAATTTCAAAGCGAATGTTATGTCAACAATGTTCGAAAAGTAACGATTAATAGGAAATTTGTATTGACACAATGGCCCAAACCATGGTATAGTACAATTATAAAATTTTTCCATTGATGAGGAATTATTTATTTGTAAAAAGTTCTGATAACGTTCGATAAGATCAGTAGGGCTCGACCACTTTATAAGATTTTCAATTTTTACATTTGCTTTTTTCAGTTGCTCGAAGGTTAATGTTGAGGATATTGATCCTATGACGGCATCATTGTTCTCTATCGAAGATGATCTAATGCAATACTCAATAAGCTGCCGACTATTGTACATTTTGGCATTCATCTCTCGTTGGTCATTTATCATATGATAAAGACAATCGTGTGAAAAATCACCATTTATTCGATCTGTATTGTAGAGATTGTAGTGATGATGTGGTGTGTTTGAAGAAGATAATGTTAAGATAACACTGATGATGACCTGTAGTAACGCCATACTCGTCGTCGAAAGTCTATTTCTTAAATGAGAAACTATTTCCCACTATTGTTATAAGAGTTCTCTCATTTCATCGGAGAGGAACAGAAAACATGGCAACAACGTCAAGCTTAATAATTAAGAGAGCACCCATGAGCCCATCGAGCATGGTGCTAGATATCGAAGCACTCGTCAAAATTTAGTTTTCTGATTTGATATTCTCATCTTATTCAGCATTATCTAAAACCTCTAAATCCAAATTTTTAGCGCATTTGGTTGAGCTGGTGAAAAGTTAGCCTGATTCGACTTTTTAGCACTGACAAGGGTATTTGCAAAATATTGTCGAAAATCGTACCTAAAAAGTTGAGTCTTTTTAAATAACAATAAATCAATAAAATTATTAATGTAATATACCAGAAGATAGAGCATCGAAAGCTGAACAAAATGNTGTATATAAATACGAATACTCGAATGTATATACACCAACTGATAGACCAACCTACGCAAGGAAAGAGGAGATGAAAATACATTGACACATAAAAAAAAACTTTGTTCTTATAATTTTGGCCACTACTGTATATATTATTGTAAAGAAAAGGATAAGGATAAGTTCAAGCGTGGCTGACTTCTATCGTGTAGAATGACGAATGATGAAAAAGATATAGTTAAGTGTATCTCATCACTAAATATAGTGTCACTGCTGCAGCTATAACAAATAATAAATACGTGCTTATGCAACATTTGATTTATTGGAGAATGCGTCTTTTACCTTCAAAAGATAATAGCTTTAACAATTGTATTTTTTAGAACTACAGCATCATAATGGATGATGTATAAAAATATTAAAAAGCCAGAGAAGAAACGCTAATTATGAATTCAAAAAAGAACAATGTTCAATTCTCGATTACCAATCGAATATTGCTTTGTTTTCTTATTACTATAACACATAATAAGACGAAAAGAAGAACGTTGTGTGTTGATCCGTTTTGTCTTGATGTTTTCTTTCAACTATCTGAATTATGTACATATACATTTATAGTTAAATGTACCTGTGATGTTCTACATAGTATAAAATTTAAGAATAATGAGACTTCAATAGGTACAAGTTGTTCGAGAATACGCCTGACTGATAGTAAATCATTCAGGAACGATTAGAATGTTTCTCTTTCAAGAATAACATTTACTATTCATTGTACATAGCTTATAAAAATTTCATATTTCATCTAGTAGCGAATTAATTTGTAAAATTTTCGATCATTACCACTAAGTGGAATACATTTCAATAATAATTATTATTTGCATTTAAACTGTAAATCCATTCAATAAAAAGTATTTTTGAATATTAAATTACACTTTATTGCTTAAATGAAAAACAGACAACATATATAAGCACAACTGTTAAAAGCAAAAAGCTCAGATTCAATAGTAAGTATCGATAGAAGTGCCAAAGGTCATTGTCGTTGAAACCAACGTCGCATTACTTCCCATTTTCGTGTGACAACTGTGTTGAATTGCTTTTTATATGCTGTCGATGTTAATACAAAAATAAAAAATGTAAGTAGTGACGGTATGAACGAAACAAAATAACCAGTCAAGGGTATTAAAGGTTCTCTTGCTGATGTCATGCATCCAAATATGAAGGCTATGACTAAACGAGGCAAAGCTAAGATAAGTGAGAGAAGAGAACTAAGAATAAGATATTTGTGAGTATGTAATTGTTTTCTAAAATGTTCCATGTACGTATCTTGTTTTTTTACAGATGCACGTCTTCTTGACAAAAAAATGATCATAGCAATTATTGATATGAATTTAATTGAAAAAGGAATAACGAAATGAAAAATATTAATAAATGAATTGTAGCTTTCGACCTTTGGTGTAAAACGAACTAGACACCAAGTTCGTTTTTCTTCTTCATCATCGATTAGACGACGATATATAGGTTCATGTAGAAGAGAAATCATTGTAATTAGACAAATAAAAGAAATATTCCATTTTCCAATATTTTTGCTTTTCGTTAGGTTAAAATTAACACCGAGAATGACAGTAAAAAGTCGTTCGACAGCGACACTGGCATGGAACCAATCCGTGATGGCTAATAATGATCGAAGAATGAATTCAATTGAAATGCAACTGAATGAGAGAAAAGATAGCGAAGTAATAGTAGACATTTGAGAGAAAACAAGAAACCATAATTTTAGATTTAAAGTAATAAGAATCAAAATAGAAGTGATTGATGATGCAAGTAAATATAAACCACTACCCACTCTCAGGCATGACTTCGATTGAAAGGTCCAAATACATAGAATTCCAGAAATTAGGCCAACAACAAGCATTATGGTAGCCAGGACAATACTACCTATAACATATAAAGATTGTTGAGTAATGCGTATATGAGGAAGGATTTTATAGCCCAAAATAACATCGAGCGAAAGGCCAAACTGTTTCGTACTGAACTGACATTTTGTACCATAAAAGCACGCTTGGCAGATACACATGGTTTTTGTTGGGCATGTTGGATGATCTTGAAAGCATTGTCCTCCATTTTGACAATCGTTCCAACCCATACAATTGTAAGTCATATTGAAATCGAAATGAAAACAATTAGCATTTCTTTCTTTTGTACAAAGACAGATGAATGTTTCATTGTCATGAAAACAAATTAGATTCAGATTTGTCTTACATGGAAGATGATAGAATTTAACTCGACGAAGAATTTGATAATCGATAGTTTGTTGATCGAACAGTTCTCGAATATATGGACAATGTCGAGATCGAGTTATTTCAGTGGAAATGTTAATTGAAGGTGTATGTTCGTGTTGAAGAACAATAAGATAAAATTTAATTTCAATCTGAGCGAAGACTAGATGAAATGGCAATGACATATAAAAAGTGACCGCATCTTGATCAAATCCAATTTTTTTGAACATGGTCGCTCTCGTTGGTATTGGATTCTCACTTTTAACACTATAGTCTTGCGCTGTAATAAAATGAACAAGAAGCGATTGAGGAATAGGCACATCAGAAAATGAAATATCAATTTCGACATCTTTTTCTTCACATCTTGGCCCAGAGAATCCATCTTGACAGATACATGTAAAATTTGTCAAAGAAATTCGATCGTCGTCTGGTACGCAAACACCTCGATTCGAACAGACATCTGTTTGACAGATTGAGTTAAGAAGACATCGAGGTGATATCTTCGTTAAAGGACAAAGACAAATCGATCTGTTATTTGCAATACCGACGCAAATGGAATCTGGTGAGCAGTTACATTGATCTTGATTAATATAAACTATTTCAGAGTGATTCGATTTGCATCGGCAAGATTCGATTTTATTACTTTTAAATTGCTCGCGATACTTTGAGTTACATGTTTTGTGACAGTTTTGCGATGCTGGAATTGTTAATATAGCACTTTCACGATTTACAGGCATAAAATTAAATTTTACTGGAAATGTCCAAGTGCTAAGATAACGAAAACTGAGTTTATCATAAGCTTCAATATTAATTGTGTAGTTCTTCGTCATATCTTTTGGTCGGTCTCGATAGAGTAGATAAATATCAAATTTAGTATTGCAATCACGAACAGGAACATAAGTGAATTGCTCATATGAATGAATGAGACCAGTATTATCAACTAAACTGGCAATAATACCAATGACAATAAATTTTCCCAAATTTTCATTTTGTATTCGAAGAGTAAGACTAACACGTTGATTTTGATATTGACAACGATCACCATAATAATTGGGCGGACACAAACATTGCTCGCTTTCATTTTCACCGACATAAATTAATGTACCTTGATGACATAACCAGACTTGCCGCATGTCTAACTGCTGAGTGTTCGTCGATTCTTCTATTTCTCTCTTCTGATATTCTATGATATTTTTAGTCGATGGCAGCGATTGTTTTCTAGGGAATGGATCAGATGACTGAGGAGAAAATGGTAATTTTCTGGCATGATAAACTTCCAACATGTCGTCGAAGTACTTAAGAATATCTGAATTTTTATCATTATCTGCTTGACATAGTTCATCTATGCCATCGACTTTATTGCACTCATGGCAACGGAACCCATAAAACACACATAAAGTATCGTTCCAACATCGATAACGTCTCAAACCATCAGTTGGATATGATAGGCGACAGTGTGTCCTCTCATCTGTTGCTCCAAGACAATCCACAATGCCATCGTCAATGCGATTTAGATGCAAACAACCAATTGTTTGATTGCTTGGAAATACACACGGATGATGATCAGTAGGACAATTAATTTTCGACAGACAATTGATTTCGTCAATTCCTTTCGGACATTGCCATAATCCATCACACTGTGTATATTGATTTACACATGACCATTCCTCACAGTGAGTCTCGTCGGTTTCGTTTGTTGAAGCAAATACTTCTCTTCTACCGTCGCATATAGCAGAAAAAGCAAGTGTCTGAATATTTATCACTAGTCCATTCATACCCAATTCATCTTCTCCACCACTGCATTGTCGTATACCGTTATTTACTGCGGTTGTTAAAAGACATTTCTTTTCAGATGTGCAATGAAAACGATACTTATCGTTCAATGAACATGAATTAACTGAAAGTGACTCGTCAAAAGCACCATAACAATCAGGAATTGTGTCCATGACGTAACGATTTGGAATACATTTGTTCGAAGCAGGACAATGTAACATAGATGATTGAAGACGACAAGGGATATCGTTGACACTTTCATACATACGAGTGCATCCAAGAAATATCATGTAAAAATCTGCGTTAGATGAAAAATTTAGGTTATGACTATGTAGACACGTGTAATTATCGATTTCGAATGTTGGTATAAGAAATGGACATTTATATTTATCAAAACAGACAAAATGTGGTATTAGAAAAATATCCATGACGATAGTTTGATTGGAAAAGTAGCCTAATCTTACATGTCCATCCCATATAGGAAAATTAGGTGCAAAGAAATAAGATGGACAATATTGAAGATTACTTTTACATTCTTCGATATTCCCACATAATGTCTTACAATAAACAGCAAATTCATTGTTTAATAAGATGTTTGATGCACAAACTGCAATCTTAAAACAAACAGGAAATGTTCTAGACTCTTGACTGTTCCAGTCAAACTTGTAATTAAACATTTTATCTCGGTTATTAAAACAGTAATTTGTATTTCTAAGTAGAGGCCAGGGTACGCATTGACCATCACCACAGGCGAATTGATGAGGAAGTCGACAAGTATTCTCTGTACACCAAAACATTGAAGAAGACATACATAAGGAACCTGAATATTTGTAATTTCGCTCATCTGATCGATCCAAACACTCTTGACCACCTATACCATTAATATTGGCTTCTATCAAAAATTTCTCATTGATACACATTCCATTGCGACATTGATATTCATTATCACCACATTGATTCATATAAAGCTCAAGACAATATTTTTCGTGTTCACCTCCATCGAGACAGTCGATTTTGCCATCACATATCTCACGCCAATCGAGACATAGTAGGGACGAACCGCGATCACATTTCATATGCATATAACAAGCGAATCGTGCCTCAGAAGTTCGTCCTCTTTTCAAATCAAATATTATGTCAACAATATCCAAAAACGAACGGTTGATACCAAATTTGTATTGACAGAATGGCCCAAACCATGGAACAGTGCAATTATAAAAACTTTTCATTGATAAAGAAATATTCGTTTGTAGATAATTTTGATAATGTTCTATAATATCAATAGGGCTTGACCATTTTATAAGACTTTCAACTGTTACATTTGCTTTCTTTAACTGATCGAAACTTAATATCGAAGATATTGGTCCTTTGATGATATCCTTTTCTTCCTTCGAAGATGGTCTAATACAATATTCAATAAGCTGCTGAGTAGCAGAGATTTTGCTATCCACAGATTGTCTTTGATTTACCATGTAATAAATGCAATCATGTGACAAATCATAATTGATTATATCTGTATGGTAAAGATTGTAGCCATGTTGTTGTGTACTTGAATAAGATAATATTAAGATAGTACTAATGACAATTTGTAGTAATGTCATACTCGTTGTTAGAATTTTATATCTGAAATGACATCGTATTTCTCACTATTGCTATAAGAATTCTCTCATCTCATCGAATGAGACAAGAATGCATGGTAATAACATACAGATTATTATTGGATAACGTATAAAGTTTCTCTATAATAGCAAGTGAGCCTATAGTAAATATAATAGAATGTCTGTGTTTTAACTCCTCTTTAGTTTCAATTAGACTTTTTTCTACTCACAGACTGTTCATCCAATTCTATTAAAAGATATTTTGGAAAAAGTCAGTTGTATACATGAACAGAGTAGCTTATCTTTGTATTGAAATGATAAAAAGAACAATATTGCCTTGAGAATGAAATGAGATCTCATGACAAATGTTACTAAAGCAAACGCACTTTGTACAACTCATGTAAATTAATGAATGAATATTCTCATCAATATTCATTTCTTCTATGTTACTTTTCGATACTTCATTCTTCAAAGAAAAAAGCTTTGAAGAAACATAAAATTGTTCTTCCCGTTGATTCACTAGTATAATTGTTTTGTTTTCGCAGAACAAGGGTTTTATCAGATACTTCAATAATGAAAAAAATAGTTTGTGGCTGTGTACGTTCGTTTGTTTGTGTCAAGGTCAAAAAAACATCCACCCTCAAATTTTTTTTTTAAGGGTTTTCGGTGTTTTGATGAAACTTCGCTATAGGTTATTGAGGGCCGAGAATCCGAATCTGAAGTTNACAAAGAATTAGTTTTTAATTTAATATTTTATGATTTTACCTTCATATTGTTTTAAATCACTTTCGGATACACTTGGTCGAATAGCTTTAAGTGATTTAATAAAATCGTCAGCTGAAATACCACGTACCTATTTAATATAGAAAATAAAACACTTGTTAACGCCGTTTTGGACTGAAATGAAGAACTCATATTTCTTATTTAGATTCATTATACTAATACAAAAAAATGGTTCGAACAGATTTTTTTGTACATTTCATTTTTATAGTTCATTATTATTTGTCTAATTATTGATTGAATGGACAAATAAGTCTGTTGTACACATTCATTATATGGCTATTATTTTCTTCGAAAATGTACATGAATTCTAAAAAATGAAAACATTATTTACTTCTTCACTCGAGAGTAATTCAATATCATGTATATCTCGAATAGGTCCTAAAGCTGCATCATGACAAAGACTATGCATATCAGCCCCACTAAAACCATCAGCAAGTGTACATATATGTTCCATATCATTATCAGTTAAAGTATGTTTTTGATCTTTAAGTAAATTTGAGATGATAGCTTTTCGTGCTGGTAAATCAGGTAATGGAATATAAATACGTTTAACAAAACGTCGACGAGCTGCTGAATCAAGTTCTTGTGGTCTATATAACATATTGAAAAATTATAAAAAATAAAAAAAATTATTTATTTTTTTACCGATTAGTAGCACCAATTAATAAAATTCGTTCTTCACCTTGTGTACTTGCTCCATCCTAAAAGAATGAAATTTGTAAACAAGAAAAAAGCACAAAATAAACAGTGAAAATTTTGAACATACAATTTGTACAAGAAATTCTGTTTTAATACGACGTGTACATTCATCTTCATTTTCAGATCTTTCTTGAAGCAATGAATCAACTTCATCAATAAATATGACAGCTGGTTGACGTGAACGAGCTACTGCAAATAATGCTCGAACTAATTTTTCACTTTCACCATGCCATTTTGAAGTAAGTGATGATGAAGAAACACAAAAAAATGTTGCTTTCGATTGACTAGCAATGCATTTACCAATAAGAGTTTTTCCAGTACCTATGAAAATAATCAACTATATAAAAGACGAAAAAACATTACCTACAAAAAAATACCTGGTGGACCGAAAAGTAGTAAACCTTTCGGTGGTCTTCTTAATCCAGTAAAAATATCAGGTCGTTGCATTGGCCAAACAACAATTTCTGTTATAGATCTTTTAGCTTCATTCAAACCAGCAATATCACTCCATGTTGTTGTTAAATTTAATTCCATGATCTATACGAGAGAAACTGTTTTTTATTTACTGTACAAAAAGTGAAACATTTGTCTATCGTAATTTGCTTTGATCCAGACTCATATCTATCATCTTAGGTTGAGTAACATTCTTGTCTATATGTATATTTGAATGATCCTTTTTTTTTCTTTACTTGATAAATCTTGTTTATCTATAATATAAATTATTCGAGGCTTTTCGTTTTTGACCTTTTCCCTTTCTGTGTTTTTTTTTGTTTGTTCTCATTCTCTAACTGAAATAATTGATAGAGATCTGCTATATGCAAGCAAGATGAAAAAAAGCGAAAACTCCGTTCTTTACCTAGAAGTGCACTAAACCCAAACTTTAAAGGATTTGTTAAGATAAGCTGACATCAGTAACGATTTAGTTTACTAAAAGTGAAACACACTAAGAAAAAGACTTTGCGACTTGGGACCAAGTCCTTAGTACTGGGATTTGCATTTGATCTTGGACTTTTGGATAACGATCGGCAAACTGCAAAATATTTACACAGATTTGGTCCAAAGCAAAACCATGTTTCAAATACAAATCAAATCCCAAATTTATTTTCCAGATTTGCTTACACACCTGACTTCACCCGTATTTCAGCTTACTCCAAGAAAAATCTATTTAATATAAACCTATGTAGCAATAAAGTTCAAATACTACATCATACTTCAGAAGTGTCATACATAGTTATATAAAATGAATTCAAACTGATATGCTCGCAACATATGTTGATACTAAGTTTGACATAGCTAAGTAGTTGTAAAAGGATAGCTTTAACATACTTATGAAGTACTTACTAGTCTATATCTTCTCATAGGCTATACACTAATATATTAGAATTCACAAATGAAAGTTATATTATCTATTGATTTTTAAAACCCTTACGAAATTAATTTCATATTACCTCACTAGTAATCATTTCGATTAATTTAGGATCAATATGTTTAGCACCACCACTTTCTTCCAATTTATTATTTGAAGGTTCAGTATTATTTGATTGATTTGTTTGTATAACAGGTGCCGATGATGGTGGTGGAAGTAGCATCATTTGTCGATTACAATCTCCTTGTGTTTGTCTTCCAACAGTTGGATCAACATAACGATTATATATTGAACGTCTATTGAAAACGAAAAAGTTTCTTTCGATCATATAATCAATTGAACTTACTTGGCTGATGAATGCATACCAAGGGATTTTTTAACAACCGCACCATTTGCTTTCGTACGTGCTTCATCGATTTCTAATTGATCACGTGCTGTACGAAATGATAATGATTCTTGTGGAGTTTGTTGTTGTTGTTGTTGTTGTTGTTGTTGTTTACCAAATGGTGGTCGATAATGATGACTAGTACTTGTATCCATTGTATCATCAGAAAAACTTGCTGGAGCTGGACGTTTCTAATTGACGAGAAGAATTTAGTAAGATGAAAATATTTTTCTTTGATTTTTATTTACTTTATTTATTGCTTGTGGTTGATGATCAATTGATGATGAAATTTTTGGTGCTTTTATCGAAAGTAAATTAATTTGACCACATAAAGGATTTCGTCCGTCACTATGACCTTTAAATAATGGTCGAATTTTATCACTCATCTGTAAGAAGATAATCAATGAAAAAAAGAAAACGTAAAAATTATACTTTACCATTTTTTGACGACTATTTTTCTCATTTATTTGAGACCAATTAAGACATTGTGAAAAAGAAACTAGGAAAAAAAATTGTGTTTGAATAGAATTTTCTTGTTAGTAACTCACTATGATGAGCTTTATCTGTGTGTTTAATGGCATTTTTATTAAATGGTCTTGTATCCCAATAAGATTGAATAAATGGATCAGCTAATTGATTCATGACTTGTATAGGAAGTCTAAGTTAAAGAAAACTCAATGAAAATGGAGACGAAAAGAAACTTTAGAAATAATCATACTGTGTAACATGTCTCCATGTATCAAGTAACATAAGTTGTACACGTCTATGATGACAAAATAAATCAACATTACGTTTATCATGTTCTAAAGATGCTTCTTCATATAACCACCATTCATATAATTGAGAGTCAATCGATGACATAATCTAAAAATCAACAAAACTATTTTGTTTTTAAATTTTTTCATTGACATGAATTTTCGAATTATCGTCATGAATTTAATAAGACAAATTCGAGTAGTATTATCTTGTAAAAAAGATTTATTTAAATAGATGCTTGTAAAATTCTATTCAAATTTAATAGAATCAATATATTGAAATTCTGATATTTTGTAGCCAAATTTGATTTTATTATTACATCTGAATCTACTTGACTTGTTGCAAAGAAAGAAAAAAATCTTGAGGATTCTACAATGTTGGCATACACTTGAAAAAATATTTATAATCATAGATACATCCATCCTCTGTTTCATTTTATGCCAGACAGGTATAATAAATGTTTAATTGCGAGAGCATCGACAACAACAACAAAAAACACATACAAACGAAACATAAATAAACGATCATAAAAACTGGCTCAAACAAAAAGAAAGAAGAATTTTGACAATTTATAGTTATTTTTTTAATATAATGTATACTTAGTAAAAAGCAAATAAAACCTATGCATGAATATCCATCATATCAGCACTTGTTTGCAACTCCAGTTCACTTGGTTTGCTTACAATAACATTTTCTGGATACATATTATCAAGTACATGTATACCTTGTGCATCAATAAGTCGTACAAATATACAATGTGGATATGCCGCCATACGTTTACCAAGTTCATTAACAATAATTTGTAACATAGATAATGCTTCTTCAATAGTTAAATCTTCTTTCCATAAACGATCACCAATAGCTAATGCAAAAAATTGACAAAAACCATGAGCAACAACATTAGATGAAATCATAGCACCTAAATAATCAATTGAATAAAGTTGTGCATGTTGTTGATCACGTTCATTTGTTGAATAACCAGCAACAATAAGATTAGCTAAAAATGAATTACGTGAACGAAGTGATGTTGCCATTTCATGGCGTGTAAAATTTGCACATGCATATGGTGATAATTCAATACCATTGATCATTTTATATAATTGAATATTTTTACCAACATATTCAGCAAATTGAACAACATCACCAGGTTCACCAGCTTATAGATAAGAGAAAACAAAAACAATTTTTGACTTTAGAAAATTGTTTGTCTCTATTGAAATTTTCTTTTTTTTTATTATATTAGTCTTACCAGCAAGCATAGCACAATGTTCACTGAATTTAAATAAACGATTTGTATCAAATTTCATATTAAGTATACCATATTTTGTTGTATTAGCATCTTGAGCTAATAAGACAAAATCTTTTCCACGTATACCAATTATTGATTCAACCATTTATTCGATATTTATTTATCTAAAAAAATTAAAATGGGAATTTTATTCGAAACTAAACATTACTAAAGTAAATTTGTGAAAACAAAAATTAGTCTACCAAAATTTCGAATGACTCTTTTTTTCTTGTTGATTTGATGAAAATGATGGATTATAATCATCTGTTGAAAACTCTGGTGTATGAAGACCAATATCAGGTGCACCTAATGAAAAATCTGTTGATGAACTAAATTCATTTGCATTCATTGTTGTACTAGTTGCAGTACCTTCTTGACTAATTTTATTAATAATATAATTACTTGTATCAAGAAAGCGTTCAATACAATCAGTTAAACATCTTTCACTTTTACCATCAAGTCTTGATGATATATTTAGTGAACATAAATCCCAACATTTATCCGTTAATGTATGTACGATTGATTGAAAATGTTGTTTTTGATTTTCTTGTTCAATAAATGATGCTAATTGAGCATCAGCTATACCTTGACTAGAATTTCCTGCAAGATTCATTCTATAATATCTAAAAGCAATAATTATTCTTTTTTAGACAAATACTTTATCGATATATTACAAATAATAGATTTATTTTCTGTACAAAAGAAGAAGAGAAATTTCGAACATTTAAAAACCACACACAAACACACTGTTATATTTCGAAAAGGATACATAAAAGATAAAATTTATTTATCAAACAATTGAATTAAGTTATTTATACGATTTGGATTGTTAGCTTTTAATGCTCGTATAGAATCCTATTGATAAATAAAATAACAATTTAAATTGATTAAAAATAATTTAAACTTACTCGTTCAACTACATGTGTATTTGTTTGTGGTATTCGTGATGATAATCGTCGTATAATAGTAGGATTAAATGTTGGTGTATCATCATATGTAGTTTCTTTGACTGTTGCTACTGGCTTAGATGGGATAATAACTTGTTTTTTAGATATTATTTCTGCTTCCATAGGTGTTATTTGTTTTTGTTCAGATTCTTCATTATGACTTTTTTCGATCAATGCAGCTCGACTAAAAAATAATAAATTACATACGTTTATTTAGTAGAACATTAAATATAGATTATAATGAGTTGTAGACGTAAAAGTTTAGTGCTGTTGTATTTTTAAGTTTTCTTCTCGATGATAAGAGCTATCAAGAATCTGAAAAAAGCTTTTATGGAATTGAAAGGATTCTCTATTAGATAGTACAGCGAAACTGCTTGAATCATAGTCCATGAAAAACCAGTTTTTTAAGTTCGATTTAAAACTTTTATGGAACAGAGCAAGATAATGCATGTTCAACCTCTTCATAACCTTCTTTCATCGAACTGAATTTAATTTACAGAAAACTCGAAAGTGTCAAATAAGGCAAAAATATCGAAATTTTTATTAAAAGGAAGAGCAGTGGCGTACGCAGGGGGGGCCGAGGGCCCCCCTCCTTGAGACGAAAAAGTCCTGAAGGGGGGATACGGGAAAAATCTTTTCCGCGTGATAAAATTTTTTTGTTTTAAGGGGGGGCCCCCCCCCCCCTTACGAAGTTGGGCCCCCCCCCTTGAAAAATTTCTGCGTACGCCACTGAGGAAGAGAGAAAAAGGCTTCTGCAAACCGAATACAGTTCGATGAAGAAAAGTCATGAAGAAATCGAAGATTTCTCATCTTGCTCCATCAAATAAAAGCTTTGAACGAAAGCCAGAAATCTAGTTCGCTGGAGATCCTCATTTAAGCAATTTCGTCGAAGTCTATCACTTCTAATCCATTCTTTGGAACATTTCTTTGTTTGTTAGATTCTATACAAAAGCAAGAGTAAAAAACATTATTCTCTATGAAATACAGAAAAAAGAAACGATACTGAATTTTGTATTACACGAGTTGAAATTAATTTTATTTTAAAATAAAATCTTTTAGTAAGTTTTGCAATGAAGAGAAGTTTTAACGTTCTCACTGAAAAACTAATTAATTATGATAAAATAAAATTTTTTATTCTAGAACTTTTAAAAATATTCTATAGAATATAAAACTTACAATTTATTTTGTTTTTGTTTAGCAATATCAATCCATGATGGTGTTGCTTTATTATCATCCGTAGTAACTTTATTATTCGTTGGTAGATTTACACCGCCAACTGTTTTTCGTCGATTTGGTGGTTGTGATATTGAAGATTTTTCTACTAGTTTATTTGTTGGAATAACAACTGGAGCTATTGGTTCATATTCAGTTGAAAAAATTGTAGATGTTTCTTCTATATGAATAGATGGTGAAGGTGATTGTATTGATTCTTCTGAAACTGATATTGGTATTGTTTCTTCTTTAAGCTGAACTTTTTTAATTAAACCATGTTTTTTTATTTGATTAAGAACATTTTCATATTCATTTATTGTTTGTTTATCATTATTCGTTGGTATATGGACAGTAATAGGTCTTATACGATTTGTCATTGGTATAGGTCGTTCTCTTGTTCTAACAATGTTATTTATTGATGATTCATTTTCATATGGTAATATATCAGGTGTCATATTTGTTTTATGACGTTGAAATAAATTTGAGTTATCATAAATATGTTCTTTAGATGATGAATATGTAATTGATTGTATTGAATATGAATTATTTGCATTGATATCTTCTAATTTTGTTTCATGTTTATTTTCTTCTTCTTCTTCTTCTTTTTTTTTTGTTGTAAATATTGATCGATTAATAAATGTTGTTTGTTTAATTTCTTGTGGTCGTTTAAAACTTATCGACCGTTGAACAGATGAAGTATATGGTGTTGAAAGTATATTATCAGCTGAATGATCTCGCGAACGAAGAGATGTATGAAAATAATCTTGTTCTTTATCCAATTTCGAAAGATCAATAACCGATTTTGATTGAAGTTTTGACTAATAGAAAAGAAAAAGTTTTGCTATTTCAATATTTTTATCCTTGAATTTTATACTTGAATATGTGGTGGAAAATTTTCTTGTTCATCATCAAATCTTGATGAGAATAAGTCAAATTGGTTATCATTATTTTCTCTTAGAATACTTAGCTATAATCAAAAATAAAATCAATATTTCATTGAATGAAAAAAAAAAAAAAATTATTATGTACTTACTTTATATTTAATTGGTTGTTGTCGTTTATTTTTTACTGCGATACGATCTCGTGCTGCTAAATGTTCTAAACGTTGACAAGTGGATGATAGCGTGGGTAGTAAAGTATTTGATGCTAAATTAATATATTCAATATTCATATACATTTATATTAAATGTCAATTATTTTACCATCATCTAATTCTCGGTATGATTGTAATGAAGTTTCCTATAAAAAAAAAAAAAAAGTTTGTTTTCTTCGTAGATAAAAATAAAAGTATACTCTTACGCCCGATGAAGACATTTGATCAGGTATAGATGCGTATGAAGAGCTTTGCGATGATGTCTAATAAAAATAACATTTTGAAAAAACGAAAATACGAACGAAAATTATTAGTCATCATATAATCATTATATTGTTCGTCTTTTTCTCGTTCTCTATTATATATATATATACACGTTTTCAAATAGAGACAACTATTAATGAAACAAATAATACGTGCTTACGTTCGAATGAGTCGGCTTTTTTGGAATGATTATTGGTGGTGATGAATGTATTGGTCGATGTCCGGAACTAATATCAATACCAGCAGCGGTCAATTTTTCTAACTAATGAATATGTAACAGATAAAAATACTTCAAAGAAAAGTTGTTGTTTTTTTTCAAAATTACCTGAGCTTTTATCAACGGACTTATATTTGTACGAGACATTCTCTATCTGTCGAAATTTTTTTCAAAATAATCGTAAAAATGATCGACGAAAACACCTAAAGTTTCTCTTGTGTTCGATTAATAGTGACGTTGATTATAATATGAGAATGAATAGGTAAGATGAATAAGGTAGAGAGAGCGAAAGGTAAAAAGTGCCGAATGAAAGCAACGACAAGCAAAAAAAATCCGAACACGCAAAAAGCGAAACGAAGGAAAAAATGGATGAAGAGGAGGGGAATGAATAAAAAAATAAGCTGCCATACATCTGTTAACATTGGTCTCAATCATCACATGTTTTTTTAAAAGCATGTTAAATTTTTTATAACATAAAATGAACTTAACCACGCCCATATTATACATGAAAAGAAGTAAAATCATATGACAGTTCTCTATTTTGTATATCTGACATTAAATCCAAATAGATTCTGTACATAAGAAGAAAAAAAAAGGAAAGGAACATTTTGATTGACATATATGATAAAAAGAAAAGCTTATCACATTATATACCTGACTTCTCGTTCGATCACTGTTCGGAATATCATTTGAATTTAAATTTGTAGTTATTGACATAACATTGTTCAAGCTATTTTGTCAATGTGTCGTTTTTGATAAATGGCTTATTACTATGTCAATAGAATTATTTATTCAAAAAGTAAAACATCCAAGGGCAATAAATGAAAAAAAAAATTACCTAAAATCTTACCCATCGAACAGTAAATTGTCTTCTATTGGTGAACGAAAGAAAAACTGCATTTTGACCAATAATTTTGTCATGATGACATTTAAATTATTTCCGCGTCTGAAGAAAAAACCTATGGTTAAAATGTCTTACTTAAGTAAAAGATGATTAACATTCAATAAATCCACAGTCGTGGCTTTATCGTTTTTTTTTCCTACTATAAATACCTAAGAAAAACTAAATGTTTGAAGACAGCTTAATATTATCTTCTCAATATTGATGTTAATTTTAAAATCTAGAACATGATTTAAAGCGCCATTGACATATTCAATTTTTTCTTCTTTTATTCATTTAAATTCGTTTTTTTCCTCCTATATGCCTTTTTTACTTCAATCAAAAATACCATCAATATCGACTGAAAATAATAATTATATTTTTTTCTTTTATTTTTTAATCGGATGTTATATTATTTGTGTTAGTTTTCTTATCTATACACTCATTCGACTTTTAAAATATTATCTAAGACAAAGACAATTTAATTCAATGTATAATGAAATAATTAATCATCCATCACAAACAACAACAACAGCAGTTCTTCTTAAAATTCATAATATTGATGAACAAGATATTGTGGGTATTAAAAATGACATTGACTTTTTGCAACCATTAATTATACAAACACAAGATTTACCACCAATTTATATGGAAACTAATCAGTGTCAACCACCACCAGACTATAAAGAACATTCATAATTTTGTTTTTCGAAATAAAAAATTAAATTCATTAGATTTATGAATACATAATATTTGTTCCATTGAAACTCTTTCTGTAAAGGATTTCGTTGTTGTACAAATTATGAGCAATTTCATAGAAAAAAAGAGAAACTACAATGAAAACTTTTCTCTTTTACTCTTTAGAAATTCAAAAGAAGAAGTCAACAATTTTTCTATAAGACATTCAATAAAAACTTTATATTAAAAAGTAATATTTTTATTAATTCTCTTACTTAAAAAAGGTAATATCAAATTCACTGGGTACATTAATGATACCTTATCTGAAGCTATACATTGAATTTTAGTTTGAACTAACATGATCTATAATCTTAATACAATATGTTATTAAAACAAAAAAAAAACAAATATTTAAGAGCAAGATAATTTTACTAGCTCACATTAACTTATGATGAAATGTACAAACAAAAAAAAGTAATATTCACTCTAAATTTTGATCATATTATTCAGTAGAAGATTTTGGAACAACAGCAGGAGGTATACCAATGGGTGGTGGCACTCCAGGTGGCAATATTCCAGGTGGAGGTCGTAAAGTCATTAATGCAGTCATCGCAGCTGGATTAGGAGGCGGTCCTAAAGGCGGCATTCCAGGTGGTAAAGTAAATGCCCATGGTGGTACAATGGTTGGCATGCCAGGTCGTGGTGGTGCAATATTTGGATTAATAAGACGAGGTGCTCCCATTGGAAAAGGTGGATTGATTAATTTTCCAGATTTATATGCAGCTGTTGTTTGATCAATCTAAGAAAGAAGAAACTTATACTTAAAAAGAATGACATGAATACAAAGAAAAAACACATACTAATTTTTGTGCTTGTTCTTCCATCCATTTTTGATAATAATCACGAACATTTTCTTTGTGTTTTCTACCTTGACAATGAGTTTTACGTACGGATGGCGAATCGTGTGTTAAATATGTATCACAATAATCACAATAATATTTAGGCATTGTATCAAATAGAATCAAACTAAAAGAACAAATAAATTTCCTTTAACAGAAATAAGTAAAACTGAATGAAATTAGTAAAAATGTTGAGAAATATTATCTGAAAAATGAACCAATAAAAAACACAAACTTCATCTTTCTTTCAATTTTTATATTGTGATATTAATAGATGTCGTTAAAAGGTATTGATGAGTTAAGAAATATGTGATCCGTTTAAATCAATAGTTTCGAGTCTGAAGCATAAAATCAATGAATTATTATGATAATAACATTTGTAATATCAATAAAGTCTGCTGTTCTTCATTACGAAAAGTAATAATAGATTAGAAGATTTCATTCTGAAGTCATCCGTTCCGTAGAAGCTCTACAACACTTTCTTTTGGTTCACATTCTCAGTAAATATTTTTTTTGGCATCAAAATAAAGATCTCACTTTGTCGTCAGAAGTAAAAAAAACTCAATTAAATACTGCGAAGAATGTTTATGCTGTTGAAAATCAATGTAGAGAAGCCAGAGAGTCTTCGAATTTTTTTTCTGTGATTTCCATCCGTTTTTTTTACCGTACAGAATAGGAAATTGATCGAAAAAACTTGGACACCTTCCAGTGCGGATTACTGTTTTCAAGTTCTATTGGTTTTCGATGTTTCTTGACCTGAGAGTGAAAAACAAACTACATATTCGACTTCTCCAAGTCTTTTTTGTGCTACATCAACGGATTTCTTTGAACTTTTTCAAAACAAAAATATTGACATAATAATAGTTATTTCATAGACGGTTAGCTAAAAGGAAAGTTAAATTCTTTTGTTTAGTTAGATCTAAATGAATGACTCTAAAATATCTCTTGAGGGAATATCTCCGAATTTTAAATTGCTTTTTGCTTGCAACCATTGCCATTCAATCGAGAGTTGTCGACTTGACCTGGATGATACTTACTCAAATTTTTTATGTATTGATCAAAGTGTTCATAGTGACATTCAACTTTTGGAGTTTAAGCGAAATCAAAAGGCTACATCTACTCTTGATTGATAGATGATTCTTTTTAATTAATTTCATTTTGTTTGTAGTTTTACATGAACTTATAACTGAGTTAGAGTGCACCTTAATAGACAAGAAAAATAAATACATGACAGAAATAGAACTTGATATGATTTAGTAGACGAAGATAACAAGCAAATATTTCTCACTAACATTAATAATGTTTTCTTTTATTTTTCTTATATACTTTGTTATCTTGAATCTCATCATTACCTAGTAAAAGAGTAAAAAACAAGAGAAAACCAATCATATACAATAAACAGACGAAAGCGAATACATGAAAAATAGTAAAAAAAAATCATATATAAAATAGTTCTAGTCGCGAATGTAGAATGCAAATGAATAGCGATAGAATAATTGAAAACAGAATCATAGTTCAAAAGCATGAATATACTGTTCTACAAATAGTCGGCTTTTATGTGAATTCAAACGAACACCCGCCGTTCTAAGAGTTGCAATGAGCATATTGCATCTGAGAGATCGATCAAGAGACCTCTAATGAGCTAAGGTCAACGCATTCGGACAGTAATAATACTTTCTATTTTTCTATTTCTATGGTTTCTTGCTGACGACGCATATTTTTAAGGCCATGAATCAGCATTGATGGAATTAGAACTGCTTTGAGTGCACAGTTCTTTATTTGGAGAATATTTTAATTATCGTCCAATTCTCTATTTTTTGATTTTCCATTTATTGGAAGAGTTTTTACTTTCATCATCTGAATTCTGAAGAACGAAATATATAATTGAGACTACAGTAAGAAAATAAGAAAAATATGTGATGCAAATTGTGCAATTTTTTCTATTATGTACTCCCAATAGCTTGCAGGCCAGGCCAGACTGGAAAAAAAACAGTGGCCTGTTTGTAGCTCTGATTCAATCGGTTATGATGAATAGTAGAAATAATCTGTTTTAGTTTGATTTCCTGACCTTTGCTTATCAAGGAGTGACATTTTTATTCTATTTTTCTCTTAGAAGCATAGAATCACTGAAAATCTGAAAGATCGTATTTCGAGTTGATATTTTGTCCAGAGATAGGTTGTTTAATCACTAGCAACAGCTTACACTTCAAAACAGATATTTCTTTAAAGTGTAAGTATCTTAGCAGGAATCTGTATGCTCTATCTCGAACTTTACGAATTGTCTATTGACTTTAAGGCCTTTGTCACACCTAAAATCACAAAAATAAAATCAAAATAGACTTGGCCACTATTCATCATGACCAATTGAATAGTAGTAGTTGAAAGCGAAAACAAAACTAACAAATGAATACATTTCATTGTTAGTTAAAGTAGATCCAATGCTAGTCTTTAAAGTTTGATTAACTTCATTATAATTCAACTGATCGTTTTATCTTCAAAAGCAAGACTTTAAACAAGAATTATCTTTTCAATGATAATCATTTTATTCTGATTTAAACACAATTCTTTGCATAATTCGCAAACATATAAAAGTTAATAAAATCAATGAATTGAGTAAGACATCCTTTAAAAGTAAAAGTCTTGAAATAAGAGTATTCTCGAATTATGACACACAATTAAAAGCAAGTCATTAATATACTTTTTATTGGTATGTGATAAGATGATCAGCATAAGCACCGGCATCATGATATACAACAAAAATATTTTGTCCATCTGTAGTTGTGTCGTAACCTGCTGGTGGTACTTTCATTGACGAATTACCATGACAGGTTTTACCGATGAGAACACGTGCTAAGAACATAGTACGTTCTCCCGAACCACTCGGCTTTGCATATGAATGACTATAATTAGCATGCGAATGAAAATATACACCACAACCATATGCAACACCTATTAAATATGATTTATTATCAGATAGTTTTTGAAATAAATTTCATACCATTGACACCAGCAAATGATCGATTAAAACATTCTTGAACAATTTGATTAGCTGAAGTTTCAAGACAACCATGAAAAAGTAATCGTTCGTCTAATTGCCCATAACGTTGTTTGTATTCATCACGATGAGCAGCATACTAAAAAATAAAATTTTAAAATTAATTTCATTCTAAAACTAAGAAGTGTTTCAACAATCTGAATTGAAAAATGCTCGAAGTATATAATGATCTATCATAGAATAGAAATAAAATAGTCTTCGCAATGGTTTCTATTATTCTTTGAATGACCTGAAAATAATGTGCCGATATCATTAATTGATTCTAAGACGGGCAATGTGACCGTCTCCTGTTTCATTGATTCTCACTTGCTTTTTTCTTGATTGCATGACATTTTGAATTTTCTTGAATTAGCATCTCGATAATAAGACTTCCTTCTCAGTAATGATGTCTCTTATTGTATGTGTTCTATTAGCGATTTTTTGCACTGCATAAAGGTCGAGATTGTCTTCCACAAAATTAGCTAAATATTAAATATCGTACCAAAAATCTTATCGTTCATAGATGTCTTACAGGCAACTCATGACCAGGATTATTTTCTTATAAAGAAATGTCTCCTTTTCTTTTTTTTTGTTAGAAAGCTTGTACCTGTTTAAACCACCTTTCATTTTGAATACGTTCTATTTTAATAATTCGTGTATATTGATTATTCATTGTCGTATTAAATTTTTGTAATACATCTTGATATTCTTTTGATGATGATTGTAATAAAACTCGTTTACAATTTTGATTTGACGGTTCCCAAGTCTAAAATTTATAATTAAACGAAAAACTGAAACTTTTATTTATTGACTTACATCTGGTAATAATGAATCGACAACTTTTCGTCGTATACGTCGTATATTAGTTTCATAATGTTCTTGCATATTCGAAAAAACTACTCGACATTTTTCTTGTTTATCGTTAACAAAATCAACCTTCAAAAGAAATAAAAAAAACTGTTCGTGCAATTCCTAAAAGATTAAATTGTGAAACACGATCTTAAAGGAATGTTGAAGTAAACTTCAACATTCCTTTAAGATCGTGTTTCACAAAAGTCTCTATTAATAGTGTAATCAGAAGATTGTAAACGATAAGGCAAAGCCCTACGATCTTGCAAAAATTGTAGTCTTAATTATGGTAGAAAGACTCCGGCCTAGTCTACTCGTTGACATACATGTGAAATTTTTTTCAAATAAGCATCTTCAATAACTCCATTAAGCTTAAATGAATATTGTTCCCAAGTTTCTGAATTTGATGTTATTTCAACTGACCAAATAACACCACGTGATACAGCATGAATACGTGCTTGTTTAAATGTTTCAGTTGTTAATTCATAAAAATGTTTTTCTGCTTCAAGAACCTAAAGAAAAACTGCATAAATAAAAAATTAATCTATTGATAAATTACCGAATCTTTTGGTCCAATTAATTCAAGTGTAAGTGTATGAAAATCAAGTGTTGGTATAACATGTTGTTTTAAACAATAATCATAATATTGATTAATTGTATTTTGTGACCAATCAATCATATCATGTTTATCAGTTAATCGAGTTTTAAATAAATATAAATGAGATAATTCTAATATATCCCTTTTACATTCAGTTAAATAATTATTATTTGAACTAATTAAAGTTATTTCAATAACTATAGAAAAAGAGAAAAAATGGTAAAATTCGAATTTTAAAAAAATCATATTTTACTTTTTTCTTCATATGGAATCTTTGAATGATGATTCGTGGTATTTTTTGGATTTTGTTTTGGTAGATTTTTAGGATGTGTTTGAATTGTATTAAGATATGTAACAAATGCATCATAAACATTTTGTTGATTTGATAAAAGTATAAATGATACATCTATATTATATGTATTACTTACTAATTGTATTACTGTTTCATCAATCATATGTTTAGCAATAATAGATGGATCAAAACCGAATTTTCCACAACCAACACTTGGAAATGCTAAAAAATATTTTTAAATACATTATTCAATAGAATTAAATATTATTTTTAAAAACTAACCAAGAGTTTTAAATCCATTAGTAAAAACATAAGTAATTGCTATAGAAACAAATTCACTTAGAGATGTTTTTAAAGAAGTTGGATTTGGTGAGTTTGATTTCCATGGAATAAATAGAATTCTTTTGCAGGGTAATGTACCATTCGATGTTACGGCTGTTTGTTGACTATTTTTATGCGATGCATCATATTCAGCTTGTACTTGAGGACCAGCTATAGTAATAATTGATTTTCGAAGAACGTCTGATGTAGAACAAACAATAATGACATCGACCTTTATAAAAAATAAAATAAAATAAGCACAATTAGGATTAGAAATTAATATAGTTTAACAAGAAATTTCTTTTAATTGCAAAGAATTAAGAATAAAAGTTTCTGCATGTACGATAGATGTTCGAAAGTAAACACACTATGATAAAGCTCGGGTAACATGAATTTTGGATAGGAACAGATTCAAGTTTACCTTATTCCTATGAATAATCAGTGCATTCCTTAGTGCTCAGCAAGATGACGTAGTCCGTCGAGTATGAGAATATACTGATGTTATCTTACCTTTAATATTGTGGGTTGCCGAGTAGTTTGTTCGGTAATCTAATCATTGATTGAACAACTAATGGCTTCAATTGACTACAAAAAATCCCTTATTTTATGCTAATTCGAAAAATAACTTCATTTTTCTCTCAAAGTGCTTCTGTGACAAATAAATCGTGAAAAACCCTTCTATAGCCGGAAAAGATTAAAGCTTACTAATACTATTGCATTAATTTGTTTTACTAAAATTTATGTTTAATTTTTTAAGGTGAATGATTTTTAAAAAGTATCGAAAAAAATTATATTAATTTCAATACAAATCTTATTATTTATTCATGAAAAAGAAAACTTACTGCTTGTGTTGTTAAATCCCCAATTGCAATCGTAATTGTCGATTTATCAATATTAATACTTGTTGAATTTGTTTTCTGAGCACTTTGAGATTGTTGTGATCTATCATCAGTATCAATTATTTGTGCTATTGGTACTGAAATATAACTACGATGTGTTTGAATTTTTTTCTCAAGATAACATTTTGATTTGACTAGAGACAAGAGACGTTCGGGTTCATTGTTAATAAGTACAGCAAAAGCAGTACTCTTAATTTCAAATTTAATTTTACTAATTTGTGCTAATGCTTCAAGACTTTCTTTAATTTGTGTATGTAAATCAAGTGGTGCAAGAAAATGGCCATGTTGTTGAAGACGAGATAAATTTAAATCACATCCATCAGCTTTATATTGTTTTTCAAGTTTATTTAAATCATTTTTACCTACATATCTTAGAAAATTAAGCTAAAACAAAACAAAAAGAACTTCAATAATGAAATATATATTAAATAGAAATGTTTGTTAGAAAGATAAAGATTTTAGAATTAGTTAGTCCAATATCGTGAAATTTGTTTTGAAAAAAAAAAAACTACAAAAAATTTGTCTCAGAGAACTTATACATGGCAAGAATTAAACACTAATTATGAACTTCAACTTCGGTATTCGAAAATTATACAATGAGAATAATCTGTACCTAAAGCGTTAACTATATCTTGTGTTGATAACCCTAAGTCATTTTATGCGATCAAAAATTTTCAAAAAAACTCACTTATTGTTTTAAAAAAAATTTCAGATTTTTCTTGTTTTATTGAAATCCGGATCTTTATTTACAATGAATCAAATGCAAAAGACATAAAGAAAAGCTATGGGATTTGAAAAGAACATTGATTTTTATCGAATAATGTCTTCAAGCTTCAAAATAAATTGTAAACTCATTAAAAACTTATAAATTAAAATAAGACATGATTAAATTTCGATGAATACTAGTTCTTTTTTTTTTCTCTCTCTAAATAATTCATAATTCAAACCTGTTCATCTGAAAGTGTAATTTTACATGGTTGTGGAACATATTTATTTTTGATTTGTTCAAATGTTTGACGAAATTCTTTGACTAATTTTGTTAAACCAAATAAATATAAAGTATTAGTTTCATTATAAAAACAAATATCTTTTTTAAAATCATCTCTTTTACGAATAATATCTTCTAAATTTGTCCATTCTTTAGTAAATTTTGATAATGTTGATTGTGGATTAAAAATAATAGTAGCTAAACTAAATTGATTATTAATTAAATCTTCTATTTTTTGTTCATCAATACCAAATTGTGGATTTGTTAAATCAAAATAATTAACATAAACACATGTTGATGACATTTTTTGACATATACAAAGAAGATTATTTAATGTAAAATGATGTTGTATAACATCAATTGCTGCATCAATCTTTGTCCAATTTCCATCTTTAAAAAAAAAAAAAAAAAATAATTTTTTGGAAGAATTTTTAAAAGAAAATTTGTTTTATCTTACCAGTTTTATCATCAAATTTTCGTGTATGTAATGATGAAAATAAATTTATTAAATCATTAAGTGCACTTTTAACATCATTCATTTGACCAGTTAATTGAATAATAATATGAATTTTTTCTCCTTTGATTTTATCATGAGTTTGATTTCGTTCAATAATTACTTTTACATTAAATGTTTCTTTTAAATGTTGTTGTAAACGATCTTCAAATGTATTTATTGAAAACATACTTATACCTTCTGTTGTTGTAACCGGATAAATAGAAGTATGACTAACTGGTGGTACAGTAGAAAGACTAGTAGATCTAAATCAAAATAAATATCAATTTATAGTATAGGTTAAATCTATTGAAACCGTACGGTTCGATTGTCTCTTGTTTTAATAGAGGAGTTGGTGGTGATCTGTAAATATAAATACTGAATAGATATGTATTTTAGATTTTGGGATGAATCCGTATTTATACATAAATATCATCTGTTTGATTGAAAGTCGATTTTTACTTTACTGAGGATATCGTATTTTATGATTAAACAGGATCCATGTTTTCAGTGTTTTATCTAGGTTTTTCACTCCGAGGGGGCAAACTCAGCTGTCGGGATGGCAGACAAAAAATTTCTTAAGGAATAAACTATCAAGAGTGTTTTCGAGTCTATTATAATGACGCTTGCAAAAGACAACGATACGCAAAATATTAATTCGAATTTGATTGCAATTAAGGACGAAGGATGGTCATATTATATTGTGAAAAATGAGTTTGTTCTGTCTTGGTACAGTTAGGTGACCACGAGAAGTGTTGCCTCGCAGTAATAGATCCATAATTCGACTAATAATCATTGTACAGAACTGATTTTTAGTTTTTCTTTAATTGAATGAACACTTCTGCGTCGATCTGTATGTGTTCGATTACAAAATAATCAATCTTTGGTCATAANAATCCGTATTTATACATAAATATCATCTGTTTGATTGAAAGTCGATTTTTACTTTACTGAGGATATCGTATTTTATGATTAAACAGGATCCATGTTTTCTATATTGATTTTAGGTTTGAATATTGAATTTTTAGTAGATTACGGTAACTTCTGACAACTTTTTGACTACGAAGAAATATCGAATCCCAATTCCTTGACTAGTGGCACAAAATTTCTGCATCCTTGGATCTTCACGAAAGCTGTCATAACTTACTACAATCTACTAAGAATTCAACATTCAGACTTGAAACCAATATAGAAAACATGGATCCTGAAAAGCATAGAAACCATCAGAATATAGAGAAATTCATCGAAGCACACTAGAATCTGAGTCTTCCAGATCCGTTTTTTCTTCTTTAAAAAAAATAGACATCATATCTTTCACATCAATATGAAATCACTGAAGTCCTGATCGACGTTAGTTTTATACAATAAAGAAAAAATTTCACAACAATGTTTGCTTTTATTTAAAATTTTAAGCATGTAGCTTGAGTCTAGATTGTAATTTTAATAGCCAATATAGTTTTCTATCTAATGGATTTTGTAGTGAAGTTTCTAAAAAACTGAACACGGTAATTTTCATGTTTAGAAGACTATTTTTTAACAATGCCATTTTAAAGAGTACAAAATGAAGAGTTGTCGTACTTTTTATGATCGTCCCTTAAAAATTTAAAAGTATTACAAAAGTCATAGAGAAAACGAAATTTATCCATATTTGATCTAATTGCTGAACTTTTTATAAAGATACGTTTTTGTTAAACTTTTTTTCACCACCTTAATGTTCTTATTAAACTATAGTTTCTCTAAAAATTTAAATACCATCTACATCTTTCATTCGATCATGACTTGATCAACTACATTATCTTAGTAATAAAATCTAATAGAAAATAATTCGATTTCTAACATAACTTACCTATCATTAAATTGAGAATTTCTGGCTGAATATGTACGCTCAGTTTGATGAGTTTTCTGGAAAAGTTTATTTCTTAATTCAAATATATCATTTGGTTTTCCTGCTATCATATAATCATTTCTTTGAATACGATTAAATGCAACAGTAGTTGAATTAGCTCGAAGAATGTTTACATGATATTGTTTCAGATCATGAAGTGTTTGATATTTTAATTTTTGCATGTAATTATTTGTTTTATTAGCAAGAATTGCTTGATTGCTTGGACAACGTGGTAAACATGGAAAATTACCTGCATAAGTTACGTCATTACCATTTATTTCAATTTCACCACCAAGTTCATTACCTTAAAATGAATAGATTATATCAAATAAATGAAAATTAATAATAATTACGAATATAATCTTTATATTCCACTTTAAATATAGGATGAGCAACAACCATAGACCATTCACGACGAAGTGTAATTGTAACTGGATTAGGTTTATTAACAGTAAATGGAATGTTTTCTGTTGAATTAGGAATACTTTGCTCAGCATTTTCATCATCGATTTCGTTAATTATTGGTGTAACTGTAATGTGAAATTTTGTCTTTACTTTTTCAACAATTGACATCCATTCTTTAAAAGCTAAAATAAAAAATATACGCACACATATTTTTCTCAATTGTAAATGACTGTTTATATTTCACATTGATGATTGCAAAAAAAAACACATGCACGAATACAAAAATGACTTTTCCAAAATAATCAAACATTTTTCTTTTGAGTCCATATACACATATATATTTAATACTGCTGAAAATTATAAGAACAAGGTTATTTTTATTGGGAATACCAAGTATCTAACTAAAATCTAAATAGTAATTTGAATAGCTAATAAAGTTCTCTATCACATACACTATATATCAAGATTTCATATTTCGATTATGTGAGAAAGTTTTCTAAGTCTCATCTGAAAAAGCACAAAATGAGGAGTTGCGATCTTCCATTACAACAATACTACGAGTAAAACAAAACAAAAAAGCAAAATTTATCAAAATCACTAAAAACGCCCCTTTTTTTGCTTTTTGTGATGCTTGTAACCTTTCGGATGGGGTTGCTGAAAACTATGAAACTTTGTTGTATGGTGCATTTTATAGACAGCTTCATTGGCTATCAAAATCACATTGTTCTTATAATTTGAAGTAGTACTGCACATCTACACATAATGAGTCTTTATTCATAGCAAAACTAGCAAATGTAAATAGATTCAGATTTGTGTATAGAAAGCTAAATTTAATATTTACTTTTTTCAAAATTCAAAAGGATAGAAGTTTTCTATTGATATCTAATTTCTTTTCTACACATTTCACCAAACCCATGAAAATTGTTCAAAGTTCTGGGAAGCTAAACAGAAATCTGTAAAATTCTGTAGGCTCTTAGAGTCCCTGTTGTCCTAGAAAGTTATGATTACTGCTGAAACTCTAATCTTACAGAAGATCAAACATTGAATTTTATTAATTCTATATTATGATCTGAAATCACAGGATTATTCATAGGGCTATGCGAAGAATTCTACAAGATTTTGAATAACTCTATTCGACTGTAGAAATATTGAATGTTATGATGTTTATTAAAGCCTAACGAATTTAGCTTTTTTTCTTTTTATGTGTGTATCCATTTACAGACTTCGATAAACAAACCGACATTTATTCGCCATCTTTGCAAAAATTTCGTAATCAAAGAGTTAGAATAAATTTAAATTTTCATTTGAAAATATTTCACATTAAATCTCTATTTATTAAAAATATTCTAATAAACTTATTGACTCTATCTTACCATTAGCATTTATAAATTCAACTTCTGCACAATATTCATTAACTAATTGAAAAGTAAAAATATTTTTTCTAACAGATTGTATAATATTTTCAATATCATCATATTTCATAATTTTATGTTCATCAATAAAACAAATACTAACAGTATCACATTCATATATTTGTATTAATGATAAATCTTTGCCTTGTAATTGTGGTTTTGATTGATATTGTTGACGAACTTTATCAAAGTCTATTTAAATTAAAAAAAGAATTTTAATTTAAAATCTTAGCAAAATAAAAAAAGTTTTTCACCTAGATCATTATTACATTGAATAAGACAAATTTGTTCATTTATTGTTGAAAGATCGATAATTGTATATGAAATAGAATTTCCAACAAGTAAAGAAATATATAATTTAATTCGACCTTCAGTTATTTTATCTTGTTGATTATTAATTAATATTTTTAATAGAAAACTTGTTCGATTAATAATTTGTTTTGTACGTTTAAATTTAATATCAATATTTTCAAAAGTAAGAATTGGTGAAGACAGTAATTTTTCAATATCTAAAACATAAAAATATTTTAATATTATAAGAAAAATAAAATAAAATTCAATACCATTAATTTGTTCTAATTGAATAATTCTTCGACGAAAATATTCATTTTCACTTTCTTGAAATTTTTTTTCAATTATTATATTTTTAACTTTTAATTTCATTTCAATTATTTCCATATCAATTTGTTGTGCAAGATTTCTTGATGGATAACTTATATCAATTTGTTTATTTATATCATCTTTTTCTAATAAATTTTTATTTGAATTATTTATATATCGAGTATTTGATAAACTTTCTGAATTATTCAATGTTTTTGTCATTTGTATTAATCGAACAAGTAATATACAATTTATATTTTCACAATTCATTTGTTGAACAATTTTTCGATTTTGACCATGAGTAAAATTATGTGGATAACGACAATCTCGAATTTTGCAATGACCAAATTCACGACATATATGAAGTTTATCACATGCCTTTACTATATTATGACAATGACCAGTAAGAAATGCTTCACAAATATCAATCTATGAGAAAACAAAGGTTAAGTAAAAAAATTAATTAATAAAATAAAATAAATTACTTGTGGATCAACACGAATTATCATTGTATTATCTTTATTGAATGATAATTGAAATAATGTCGGACTCAGTGATTGAACATGATGACGAACTTCTTCTGTATAACATTGAATACCTTGAGCAATAAGCGATAGACTAATATTAGAATCTTTTAAACTAAGAACTTGTTTATTAAGAAAAACCGAAATGATATCGTTCGATAAATTAGTCATTTTTAAGCAATCACATATTGAATTAAACTGAAAAAAAAAAATTCATTAACTTTCAGTTATTGATAAATAAATATCATGTGTAAGGACCTGAAAAAAACCCACAGAATGACAAAAAAAAATCGGCACGTGGGATAAAAATAAAAGAAGAGAAAGAAAAAAGTTTTGTATCCATCGTATGTTAACAAAGAGAATTTAGATAGAGAATTTCTATTTTTCTTTATGTTTCATTTAAATAATCTTTTCTTTTGTCATCATTAACAACAAATTCGAATAAGGTTATCAATACGAGTTAAAATAGTAATTTTTGACCAGAGAAAAAGCTCTTGAATATTGAATATAATTAAATAATCTATTCATCTATTCTACATTCTAAATGTTACAACAGTTATTTTTAAAAATTTTCAATATTAATTATTTCTTGCGTGAGTAAATGTTTATTAACATCTATGTATTTGTTTTATGATAAATTTCAATACACTTCAATTTAAACCCTTAAAAATTTTCTCATTTCTTATTCAATAAGTTTCACACTTGCAATCTGTCTGATTGTTATGATATATTTTCACCTGTTCAATAAAAATGACAGATGAATAAAATAATCTATTTAATTTATTTATTCATCATATGATAATTATAAAAACTGAGTAAAATATTCTCGCTATACTCTGTGTATGATGTACATGAAATATCTATAAATAAAAATGAGATATAATTTATGTCGATAGGTTTTATACAAAAACAAATTCATCCAACTTTTACCCAATCAATCGTATTTGTAAGCAAATCAAAAATTAACACTTTTCTTGATTTTGTTTTATTAATATGAACATATATCTTTTGATGTTTCTTTTTTCTTTTGTAAAGATATTTTTAAATAGTCACCATTAGTCTTATTCACAATAATCTTTTCTTTTTATTGAACCGAAAAGAATAATAACAACAACAAAAAACACAACTTTAATATCTTCAGTTTATTTTTCTAATGGTGTATAGTTTAATAATTTTTCAATAAGATCAACATGTGATAGAAGCATACGACGACAACAATATCGTTTAAGACCAAGCACATCAAGTGCATCACCTTCTGTATATTCACATCGTAATAATTCAATATATGCTTCCCATTTATTGCCAATTACTTTGCCACAAGAAAAACACCGAATTGGTATAATCATTGTTCTTTAGTTTCACTTTTAAGATCTAAAAAAATAAGTTAGTCTATTGAAGTGAACTGCTTATTAATTGTGTAGTGTAACATCATGTTCTACCATGAATAAAATAACTTTTTATTTGCAACAACCAATGAATAGAGAGCGCCACAGTATAAGTTTGTTCCAACTCTTTTATTGGAGACCATTCATTAATCAACGTTTAGGTTGGTTTCTAGGTGTTGCATGTTCATTTTTTTTTCATACTTTATTTTTCTCTCTATATGTTTAGTTACTTCATCATAAAGTTCGTTATCTTTTGTAGATGAATTTTCATTCAAAACGAATTTATTTAGTAAAAGACTATTTCTGTGGCCTGTTCTCAAGTACAATAAATTGTTCAATCATGATTGAACCAGTATTCATTCCTATGCTTTTATATAAATAACGGTTTGAAAAAGCAAAAGTATTTTGAAGTGTCGAGATCTTATTAATCGCCGAGTCAAATTCCGACATGGTGTCATACACGAAGCTACACTCCGGACTAGGTCGACCGCTGGGTGACAGAACATTGCATCATACACAAATAAATGTAACACAAATTTTACGATTCATATTGTTTATTCATTTATAATTGAAATACTATAACAGTTCTATGTTCATTACTTTAAGCACGCAGTTAAAACTTACTTAACGTCAAAATTCAGGGGATATAATTGTAACAAGTGTCTGCACGCCCATATGTGTTTAAATCCCTCTCATTTCTATCTGAAATAGTCTAGTTCTGGTTAGCTGTCCCTTTTCCTTTTTTTCTGGATGTCACGTTACGAACTCATAATCCGGTTTTTGATACAACAAAATATTTTCAAAAATCTCAGTTCTTGTTTTATGCGATTATAACATAAACTAATTCTGCATATTCAACATCTTAAGAAAAGAAAAGTATTTAGATAGTTTTGAATTCTTGCGCTATTTTGAAAACATTTTGGCTTATCAACATCAGAATCTTTAATTACAATGAATTAAATGCAATAGTCATAAAAAAAAAAGATATGCGACTTGAGAAGAACCATAATTATTGTCGAAAAATCTTTTGCAACTTCGAAATCATTAAAAACGTATTTGTTGAAAATTAATGCAGTGCAAAGCACAACATTTATGTAGTCAGTCATGTGCGCATTCGATGTCTTCTACTGTAGCAACATCTATAGTTTGTGTTACAATGTTTTAGAGAATGGTAAATCGATAGAAATTCTTTCGAACTTTGTCAGGAAGATCGATGTCTCAAGATGATGAAAACATTTTTGAATCTTCAATATGAGTTTTCGTTCGTCTTCAGTAAGTTTTGACGTTTCGGCCTGCACCGTTTATCCCAGATAATAAAAATTGTTGAGATAATTCCCAGTTAGCTGCGGCGCGCATGAGAAATTATGTAAACTTTCGACAGGACCGGATCAACTCTACTTGAAATCTTATTGCCAAAAATTGGTTTCTGTTGCGATGATCTCGAGAACGGAGAGTCAGAAAATGCGCAGATAGACATTCTTGTACTATCTTATTCCCGCATTGAACAAGATAATGGATTTGTAGGGAAGCTCTTTACGCTTGTTACGCTATAAATAGTTGGAGTAAAAACAAACTTAGTGTAGTTTCAACAATAGTGTGGATATGTATCGATTAGTGAGAGCCGCATCTAGTTTGTTGCTAGGACTGCTGTAAGCTTTCTATTCCTGCTATTCATAGCATAACAAAGGTATATAACTTAAGTGATATGATTTCCAATATAAGAATTTTGTACAGAAAAAGACTCCTCACCAATCGGCACTGTTAAAACAAATTCTGCTTTCTTTGATTTATGAACAAAACATTCTAACAAAGTCTATCTATGATCGATGTATACATAGAAGACAGCAAAAACAATTTTCTAACATGAAATATCTATTCAAATAGAATATTTCATGCAGTTTTTAATTCTTTTGCTAATTATATATGGAACAATAAAAGTACATAGAGCGCAAGTTGTCAATTAAATCATATATCACAATGAAAATTTCAACTTATAACAGGCTTTTGAAAGAATGAAAAGTGGTTTTTCTACTTGCTCTTCATCACCATCTATGGGTCTTATAAGTACATTAATGATAAAATGAGATTCCATTACTATCCGTTGAGGATCACGCCAAGATGATAATGAAAATGGACTTATTGGTTATGTGTTAGATTATTGCAAGTTACAGAGGACGTGAATTTTTTATTCGGTAGAAACTTTCGATCGATGAAGAATTACTGACATTGATAGATGACATTCATTTTTATTAAAGAAAACGGTTATCTCAACTTCATTATAGCTAGAAAGGATATTACTCGAAGTAAGTTGTCTTTTTTTTCTAAATTTAACTTTAGTGGAACGATTAAAGTAAAATAATAAATCAGTTTCGGACAACATTCATCTATGTGACTGTTCGATATTTGACTCTATTATTGAATAACAACAAAAACTTTTTATTAAACTTATAAAACAAAATACCAAAATCAGAGATATTTTATTGGTCATGTGTAGAGACCTTTGTCAGCTGAAATGACTTATGAAATGCAGTTTTCGTTTCTTTAATTATTCTTCACTTTTTCAAATGAAAAAGCGACGACCAAATAGAAAGCATTCTATAGTAACACTTGTTTTGACTTGATTACTGCTTGTGAAACATAGCCGAAAATGTAGACACTCAATAATATCTTATATTTGAAAAAAGTTACACTCTGATCAGATATAGAGCATTTGAAGGTGTTCTGACCAAATTGAGCAAGTATAGGCTTTCTCGAGTATGAACACGTAAGGGTGAGTTTCATAAGATCTCATTACAGAAAATTTATTTTGTATCTTTATAAATGATGTATGAATTTTGAGATCGAAATGTTGTTATTATTATTTTATTTAATATGAAGTTTCAAGCAATCAACCTACACCAAAATCTTATTACATTTAAGAGAAATGAGCACACATATATTTTTTTAGATTGACAATGCGCGATGTGGATACATTACAAAACTGTTTTGAAACAATATCCTTTTCATATGAATTGATGATGTAGTCAGCAGGGACAACTATTTTAGACAAATTTCATATAGCGAAAGATAAAGTTTTTTGTTGATAAAAAATGATATTATTGTCACCACTTTTTTCTGACATAAAAGCATAAAGTTCTACCAAAACTTTCAGTTTATCGTCCAAAGAAGATTGTATGTGTGCATTTTTCTTCATCGACACACACACACCTTCTATCGATTCAAAATCGGTGTATGTGTAGAGCAATGCCTGCCAAATCATCTCGACAAATTATCGATCAGAAGAAAAAGATGTGCATGGACATTTGAAGCTTTCATTCAATGTTACAAATACTAACAAATCTTGACATACAAATTGAAAAAAATGCAGTGCACTCTCTTCGTCAACATGCCCAAAAGTGTCTTCAGAGACCGGCGGCTTCACCATCGGTAATGTCAATCGAAAAGTATTTGAAAATGATGCGGTTCTATCATCCGATTGTAAACCAATGATAACACTCGCTTGTTTCAGTCACTGCGCGTTTGACAAGCATTCATTTAGTAGAGTGAATGGCGATGACTTTTATAGTTATGCCAAGCAAAGACTGAAACAAATAAAAAAAAAGAACTCTGACTCGACTATGTTTCAGTCTATCACGAACAGGTAGCGACTAATTGACTGATGAGAAATCACTTCTGTGTTATCCCTACCAACCAGAGAATCACGATGGCTTCTACTGAGAACGTCTTTAAGAGTAAACGAAACCTTTCAAAAAATGCCTCACCCTTCAGGTCAAATTCGACTTGGTTACAGCCTTTAATGCCAAATATTTATTGATGCAGGCTGAAAGTATGGTGTTTTGAATGTTGGTGTACTTTCTGCATTGTCTCTTTTATCGAATCTGACAAATAGCTAAAGAATAATTCAGTAGCTGGTACCGGAATACTGTGTGCAATTAATTGACATTAAGAAAGAAAATAAAAATTGACAGCTAGCAAAACAAAAAAATCACAGGATAGGATATAAGACACGAAAAAATTTTATCCTGCAAGACTCTAACCTTGACCAATAAGTGAAAGACTAACGTCAGAATCTTTTAAAGTAAGAACTTGTGTACTAAGAAAAATCGAAATGATTTTGTTCAATATATTAGTTGTTTTTGAGCAATTGCCCATCGATTTAAAGTAAAAAAAAGAATTCGTTGGATTTCAGTCATTCGCAAATAAATAGGAACCATATTCGTAAGGAAATGAAAAAAATACCCACAGAATGACAAAGAAAATTATGACACGTGAGATCAAAAACGAAACAAAAAAGAAAAAAAAATGTTTTATAGTCATATATGTCGACTAGGAGAATTGACATAAACAGCTTTTATTTTTCTTTGATTATTACCCACAAGAAATTTCAATAAGATTACCAATCGGAGTCAAAATAATTATTTTTAACCAGAGAAAAGGTCCCTCAATACTGTTTTAAATTATAAAGTAACTGGATACAATATTTGTAACTGAAAAGTACTACTAAAGAATTACTACGACGTACTAATTATTTGCAAAGAAGTAATAGACATCAGTTCTATATAATTATGAGATCATCTATTCTTAATCTATATAATATTAAGTCATAATTTGAATAACCTCGTGCTCTGTCTTATGTTCTAAATAGTAAAACAGTATTTTATTTTGAATATTACTTTGGTAGTTTGACTTGAATACATGTTTATTGAAATCTATGTATTTGTTTTATAATAAATTTTACACTTTCAGTCAATCTAACATATCTAATATATTTTCATCAGTTCAATAGAAACGACAAATGAGTAAAATAATCTACTTAATTTATTTATTCATCATATGATAATTATGAAAACTAAATCAAAAATTTTTTCGAATTTATGCCAAAATAATCTTAATATAATCTATTCAAATATAATTCATGTCAATAATTTTTAAACAAAAAAACTCGTCCAACTTTTAACTAATGGTATTGATGAGTAAATAAATCATAAACTAACTGTTGTCTTTATTTGGTTTTGTTAATATGAACATGTATTTGCAGATATTTTTTTTTCTTTTTGTAAAGATATTTTTAAATAATTACTATAAGTCTTATTTATTCACAATAATCTTGTCTTTTCGTTGAACACAAAAGAACAATAGCAACAAAAAACGAAACTTAATATCTTTAGTTCGTTTTCTCCAATGGTGTATAATTTAATAATTTTTCAATAAGATCAACATGTGATAGAAGCATACGACGACAACAATATCGTGTTAGACGAAGTGCATCAAGCGCATCACCTTCTGAATATTCGTGTTGTAATAAATCAATATATGTTTCCCATTTATTTCCAATTACTTTGCCACAAGAAAAACACCGAATTGGTATAATCATTATTCTTTAGTTTTACTTTCAAAATCTAGAAAAAAAAGTTACACCGTTGAAGTGAATTACTTTGTACTTATGAAATGAAATGAAACATCATTTTCTGCAGCATATAAAAAACCTTTCATTTATAACATGCAATAAATAGAGAGCACTACAGTATCAGGTGTTCTGGGCACCGTTTAAGGGAAACAACCGTTTAGTGGAAAGTATGGACACCATTATAGAGGCACACATGGTAAATCTGATTGGTTACATGAATTGGAACACATCTGGTTGTATTAAATTACTCTTAAAAATATGTCAATAATTGAAAAAAAAAAATTAAACTAATGTCGGCGCCA